GTGACCCCACGTGATGTATACTTTTTTTCAAAACCCAATTTTGCCCTTCGTCCCTCTCTCTTCTTCTTCACCATCCCTCCATTCTCAGAGGTGGTGGTGGAGGCTATGGCGGTGGCGATGCTGGTGGAGGCTATGGATCTAGCAGTGGCGGAAACTATGGAACTGGTGGTGGTAGTGACTATGCAGGTATTGCTAGCGGGGGCTATGGAGGTAGCAATGGGGGCGGGGGTCACAAAAGCAGCGGTGGCAATGGTGGAGATTATGGAGGAAGTGGTGGTGGAGGTGGTGGTGGTGGAGGTTATGGGAGTGGCAGTAGGGGTAGTGGAAATTATGGAGGTAGAGGTGGCGATGGGGGTGGAAATTATGGCTTTCATAGGATGGTGGTGGAGGTTGCAGCAAAATGCACTCAAGAATAGAGAGGAGCACCGTCACTGTTGGATTTTAATGTCATAAGAGATTAAATCCAATGGATTTGATTGGTCAATTACATGAGAAATCGCACCTACACACTTGATTGAAAAATTAACTTTTCTCTTACAAAACCCAGTTTTGAACTTGCCCCACATTGGAAAATTATAAGCTTTGTTTTCAATATTTTAATAGGAGCTGATTTACTCCTTAGAAATAGTAGAGGAGAGTATGGGGGTTTGATACCGCGCAATGCGTGTGCACGCGTGTGCGTGCGTGCGTGTGTGTGGCGCAATGAGGTGCTTTAGAGGTGCACTTTGCTCGCACCCGCATGGCTCGCAAAGGGCGGCTTTGGTTTTGGTGCGACGTTGACTGTTGATCACCATTGATGAGATCAACGGACACGATTCGGTCGGGTGTGATCAAGATGCACAATTCAAAGTTAACAGTCATTAGCTGTTAACTGTTTTTTAAACAGTCACAATGTTTGAAATTGTGACTGTTCAAGKTGCCTTCTCTAAACCAGCACCTACCTTTTCTTCATACATCTTCATAAACTATTTAAGGAGCATGAATCAGACTTCAAAAACACACATTTTCGAAATTCACTTTCTCTCTCTCTCTCTCTCTCTGTCCGGTCTGCTACAGTCTCACAGAAGGTTTCTCTAGAGATTCTTCAACTTTGCTGGTTACAGATTCTCGCCCAAGGCTCTGTTGTATCCTGGGAATGGATTTGCCTATAACCCAACATCAAACTCAATGAAACTGAGTGGAGGCAAATAACATTCTAAAGACAGTGTCTTCAGACGCGCCTCAGAGCTTCTTCTCCAAAATTACAGTGACCCCATTTTTCCAACAGTCACCTCCACCAACGATGCTTGTCGCTGCAATTTCCAGATGGCAATGCGACAGTGAGAAAAAGGTTGGAGATCTCAAATCTACAAGGAGAACCCAGATCTGAGATTTGGCCCATCATTCGCCGCTTCAATGTAGGTACTCACCGTCCATCTGAGATCTACAAGGAGAATCCAGATCTCAAATCTGCAAGGAGAACCCAGATCTCAGATCTGGCCCATCGTCCGCCACTTTAATGTAGGTACTCACCGTCCATCTGAGATATTTAAGGAGAACCCAAATCTCAAACAAGGAGAACCTAGATCTGAGATCTGGCCCATTGTCCACCGCTTCAATGTAGGTACTCACCGTCCATCTGAGATCTGCAAGGAGAACCCAGATCTCAAATCTTCAAGGATAACCCAAAAAGTACTCACCGCTTCAATGTAGGTACTCACCGCTTCAATGTAGGTTCTCCGGCAGCACTACGGCGTCGGTGCTGAGTATACAACATCATCGGTTTTGATTTTATACCCGTATCTCCGTTGTTTGTCAGTGTCGGCACCGTCGTTGGTGCCGACGCACCCCCCACCCCACCCCTCGGCCCGCATGCCCAACCAGTATCTTTGTTATTCAAAAACAGACTTTTCTCTCTCATCTAAGAGAGAAAAGGGAGGCAAGAGAGCAGAGAGTTATAGAGCTTTATTTGCAGCCCTTTCTTGGTGTTTTTCATTTACGTATATCCATGAGTATGTCTTCCTGTATTCTGGTGGCCCATCATCTTTGTTAACTTAGGAGCTCAACAGAGTGACGAGAGTTTAACTGTTCACCAACTTTGTTAGCTCAGGAGATCAACGAAGGGTTGATCTTGATAAAAATGTTAATTTGGGAACTGATTTGGTGTTAACGGAGAAGAATATCTCTTTGTTAGCTTAGGATCTTAACGAAGGATTGAAAGAATGTCTACGATGATGCTAATGGTAGTTCTTTGGGAGAAAGAGAATAAAAAGAGGGGATGAAATTTAAGTGTACGGCAAGACAATAGCTAAACAGTAGGGGTACCACATGTCAACTAGCTAAATAGTAGGGATAGTTTTAGAGATTTACCCTTTGTTTTTTTGTTTCGATGCTTGAAAATGCTTATATATGGATTGATATACTCCCCTTGTGTTGATAATCCTATATTTTTTTTTTGTGCTTTAAATAGATCTATGGGTGATCTACCATCTCCATAGATCTATTGAAATTTCTTATAATATATTCATTTTTTATTTTTTGTAATTTTTAAAATAAAAATAATTATTTTTTTTGTAAAACAAAAAATATTTATTTGTTAAAACTTTTTGTAATTTTAGAATAAAAATATGTACATTTTATAATTTTGTTATTTCATAGATCTATTGAAATTTCTTGTGAAATATTTATTTATTTTTTATTTTTTTATTTTTAGAATACGAAATGTTTATTTTTTTTATAATTTTTGGTATGATCTAACCATAATATTTACCATGTTGTAAATCTATGGATGATATATCACATCCATAGAGTTATTTTTTGTTACATTTTTTTAATTTTTGTTATAATTTTTTAAATAAAAAATAAAATAATTATTTGAATAAGAAATAAATAATTGTTTAAAAAATTATAGAAAATTTTTCCTTATAAAATTATTAGTTTTATATTTTGTAGCTATAAGCTTATTAGAGAATACCCTTATGTTCCCATATGTTGATTATGATATATTTTTTCATAAAAATCACTAGAGGATGTGATTTTCATGTATGTATAACTCATTTAGGCTTTATTTTAATGTTACTAATATATTTTTATGATTTATCAAGGTACTTATAGTGTTTTAATGCATTTCCATACGTATCCTTAACTTTTTGTCATAAAGCATATCCCAATACATCTCCTTAGGCCGAGAGCCAGTTTAGTCCCCAAACTTTAAAATATGACAATCTAATACCCGAACTTTCATTTTGCCACAATCTAGTACCTATCGTTAATGGACCGTCGATTATGTATATCACATAACCTCATGTGTGATTTAAAAAATTTAAAAACATCAAAATTACCCTTAGAAAATACACTTTTCGTCATCTTCTTTCTCTCTCTACATGTCGAATTCATTGACTGCAATGAAACTCCACCGCTCCATCTCCTCTCTCACATATTCTTGCAAAGTGGTTTCCTTGAGATACGGTGTAAGCCACCTGCTGCAGACCAACCCAACCCGCGTCCGCCTTTCACTTCGTCATGTGTTAGTTGCCTTCGGTTCATCTGATTCACCTGCGATAAGCCCTCCAGAGCTACCGTCGAGGCCAACTCCGGAGCCATCCTCTTTTCCACCGGAGGTGCCTGCAACTTGTACAGCTTCGAATATCGAAACCGCGCCGCCGCCTGAAGTAGGGATCCCCAATCCTCCTCCTGCTCTTCCATCTCAAATACCGCTAAGGCCTAATCCTGGGCCAGAATTTCCAGGACCCCCAATTCCATCTCCGAGCATTCCTGACATTCCGATACCAAAGCCGCCGAATGTAGTGCCACCTCAACCACCGGATCAAATACCGCCTAGGCCTCCGAGTATCGACCCACCACCGTCAATGCCTCCCGATATCATACCACCCACGGGGCCATTTGCAGTTTTTCTGCAACTAGTTGGTGAATCGTGAGGATTTTTCTTTAATTAAGCTTGATATATATAACGTGCTTTTTTACAGTGTACATAAAAGGATTATATTTCTCATTGGTGAGAATTATGTTCGCTTTTATTTATTTATAGTTTTTCAAAGAAAAAAGTTTCCATCGGAAGAATCGCAGAACAGGGATCAAATCATAAATAGGAGGTCAAAACAGTGGCGGGGGAATAGTGGCGGCGAACAGTATGATGCGAAAACCATGGTTCGGACTGGAATAGTGGCAGTGAACAATGTTCATTGACTGGAACAGTGGCGGTGAACAGTGAAGGAACAGTGGCGGTGAACTTTTGTTTAGTTCTGACTACTAGTTTTCATTCTCTAGTTTTCTCTTATGTGGGGGAGAACAGTGGCGGTGTTCAACGAAGGAGATGATGAATAGTGATGGTGAACGGTAAAAAATTAGATAAAACTTAAGGGGCATTTATATCTTTTCTCATGACACTTAATGGTGAGTTAATGGTAGGTACTAGATTGTGGCAAAATGAAAGTTTGGGTATTAGATTATCGCATTTTAAAGTTTAGGTACTAAATTGGCACTCAACCTAAAGTATAGGGTACCTATCGGGAATTTTCCCTCTCTTAAATTTGTCTTTGTGATACACTTAATGTTTTTAATACTTTGAACCTTGGGTTGAACTCTCTACGTATTACATCCAGTCGTGAGGTTAATGTAATGTAATGTACTGAAACACAAATTAAAACTACTATGTACCGAATATTGGTTCAACTATTTACGTCATGGGAGGGGTGCAAGGAAATCCCTTAAATTACCCCTAAGTTTTAGGAAATGGATTTATACATACGAGTTTAACTTGGGCAGACCCAACTTGAGCCCAAACCAACCTAGCCTGAAATTTTGCATGAATTGGGTTTGGATTTTCAGTCCTCAGGCTGGGTTTGGGCCCAAGAATTTAGGAATTTTTATTTTTTGGGCTAGGCTCGGGCTTAGCCCTTAGGTGGTCTAAAATCAGGTTGAGCCCAGTCCAACTTCGTCCCAATCCAAGCCCGGCCTAGGCTCAAATCCAACTCAAGTTCATCAGATTACAATGCAAAATAGGCTGGAGTTGAAAAAATCAGATTTGACCTTGAGCTCGGGACTTATCCCTTAAGTTTTCTAACAATTGACTAACTCTACCCCATTATTAACATGCCATCACATTCTATTTGTATATGATAGCACATGACTATTAAAACATTTGTGCTTGGCCTTTGACTATTAAAACATTTCTGAAACCCAAATTTGTGCTTGGCCTTTGACCATGCCCCCGGTAAACTAGTTCCTCTCTCTCTCTTAGCACAGGGCCAAAAATATCATTACCATCCTACATTATTCTGTTAACCATAGTCATGTCATGACTATTAACCATAGCCATCAAAATCATAAAATAAAATAAAATAAAACTTCAATTGGAGTGCAAAACCAATGGGATCAAGTGATCCCTTGGAAATTGATATTTTGACAATGTTTTGTTAGGTGGGTTTGATCGATCTATGCCCACCTATTACTGAAAAACCAATAAAAACCAACGATATATAGTTTCAAAGGTTCCCCTTATAAGTTCACTGAAATCATTTTTAATTTAATTTCCCTTGTTCTTTACTAAAATGACCAATTTCACTCGTTCCATTCTTCCAACCATCACAAATTTGATTTTGCTCACCAGTTTTCTTTAATTTGCAACTGGTTTTAGACCTTACTCATGAACTCCATTACCTTGATGAGCACTAATAATGACTCTTAACATTTTTTCTCACTAGAGAGAAGGACCCTATTCATCAATGGTTGGCGATGAAGCTCTATTACTGTCATGTATCATTCCACATTGTTTATTTAAATGGTTCCCTTTTGAAATTTAAAGCAGAATGAAGGGTAAAATGGCCTTTTCAATGATCAATTGTCAATTGTCATAAAACTTAGGGCTATTTTAAGGGATTTTTTTAAATAGTAGGGATAAGATTAGTCAATTTCGTTAGTAATAGTTTAAGAGATTTCCCTATAGATACAAATAAAGTTGCAACTTGGTCCTAGTTTGCCCAATCATGTGTTGTGAAAATTGGGTGGGGTTGAATCAGGCTAGAGTTAAAAAATGTGAACTTGATTTCACTTTGTTTTTTATTTTTTGGCAAAAGGATACAAATAAAATATCCTTTACATGCTACGTAAGTGATGAGGGGTGATTTGGCCCGACCTGATATGTAAGGGACACGTGGACGCGGCTTGCTAGCCAAATGACAAAATAGCACATAGTGCCATGTCAGCAAATCGGGGGACCTCGGGTGCTCGGCCACTTTGAACCTAGAGCACCTCGGTACCCACTTGCACCGAGGTACCATGTAACTGGACCTAAGAACTCGACAGTCATCTCTAAACTTCTCGGGATCACGCCGCGTAACTGTAGGCCTCATCCTTACCCCGCCTGAATCGGGGGGAAATGGTAAGCCTCATTAATTGGTATGTTACCCCCCTTCCAAAGAGAAACGGATCCCTATGACACGGGCCAAGGGTTTTGGGAGCGTTTCGCGAGACCTACGACATCCCAGCTATATAAGGGAATCAACCCCCAATACTTAGTTATGCGCGATTACTTGCTCACTAGCATTCTAGCATTCAAGCTTTCAGCTCGTAGCCAGAATAAATACTGACTTAAGTATTGGAGCGACTTCGCCAGGTTAGCCACCCCGGGTTATTTGATCCTTTGCCTTGCAGCTTGGTCTAGCTCGCTATGCAACTAGCATCCAGGCAATCTTCTAGATGGCACACCATCAATAAGCTAAAATATGAGTAACTTTGTTTCTGGTTCTATTTACATGAATAAAATAAGACATATTCGAAGAGGTTCAGAAGCCATTGTATGCAATTCCAGTGTAGCTTCTCTATCCTCTCCATAGGATTACCTTTGATATTGCCTTGAGTGGTTGCTGGTTAGAAGTTGAGTAAAAACCTCCATACCTATTATGAATAAGTATGATGAGAATGGTTCACCTTGTCTCAAGCCTCTTTTTGAGATGGAAGTGTTGATAGTCTTCTCCTCCTATTTTGATTGAGTATGTGGGAGTGGAGATACATCGGAAAATCAAGTTGCACCACTTTGAAAGGAAGTTCATTTTTGTCATGGTTTTTTTTTAAGAGCCTCCAATCCATTCTTTCAAAGGCCCTTGACATGTCTACTTTCATAGCAATATAGCCTTTACCTTTTCATTGGGACTTCATCTGGTGTGATTTGCCTGTTTTTTAACAATCTACTTGGAATTGGGAAATGACCTCTTGCACCATAGGCTGTAGTCATTTGGAATGAATTTTGTATAGTACATTACAAAGGCTGATGGGCCTATAGTGTGAGACCTCCATTAATTGGAAAGTTGCATTTTGGCAGAAAAGCCAAACTTGTATTAAAAACTCTGATAACATTTCTGTGATCTCCTGTGAAAGGATGCTCTAATACTATTGGTAGAAATAGGTCATGAATCCATTCGGGCCCAGAGCTTTATGGGGGTTCATTTGATTTATTATGCCTTGAATTTCTTCTTGATCAAGAGGCCACAACAGAGAATCTATGTGATGCTGCTATAATTGAGGGAGTGAGAGGTCATCAAGGCAAGGGGAATCAATTTTTTTCCTGGATGCCACTAATGTTCCATACACCTTGAAAGGCTTTAGCAACCTCCATTTTATTTGAAGCCCATTTCCCTTGTGCATTTTTAATCCAACAATTGGTGCTTTTGTTGAATTTTTATTTGGGTATTTAGTTAAAAAAAAATTGGTTTTTGATTCCTTCTTTTAGCTAAATTTCTCTAGATTTCAGTATCTAAAGTTTGTTCTTTAGCAACCAATAATGATACTGCCGCTTGAGGCTTTGAATTTCTCTATCACTAACAACTGAGTTAGCTTCCATTTGGAGTGAGGTAAGTTTCTATGAAATCCTATTGAGATGATCATGAATATGCCCAAAACTGTTCTTGTTCCACTGTTTGAGTAAATTTTTGCACAATTTTAATTTTTTGTTAACCTTGAACCATGGTTGGCATTGGGTAGGCATGCACTAGGCTTCTTCAATCACTTGCTTGCAAGTTGCAACCTAGGTGTTCTGTCCAGAAGGGTAGAAAATGAAAATATAATTTGGTGGGCTTTGATTGTGCATTTATTTTTATGGGTCCTGGTTTGAAATTATAATGTCAAAGTGGGTGAGGGTTGTTTTTGGGAACTTCGCAACTCAACTTAAGTAACTAACCATTGTTTCATATTTGTACATCTATACTAAAGGTTAAATAGTTATGAGATCGGCTTCGGTCAGTGTAAGTCCCGTTTGAACACCATTCAAACAGTCTTTTCAGTCTTGTACCGGGAATATCTTTCTACCTAGGCACCATGAAAAGGGAGATATTCCCAATGCAAGGCCCTAAAGACTGTTTGAACGGGCGTTGCATTGACTGAAGCCGAATTTAATAGTTATATATAACCTTAACAACATTTGAGAAAATAGTCAATCCAATCAAGCCCAATCCAAACTCTTAACTTAGTTTAGAGTTTGGGTTGAGGTTACGTAGCTCCAGTTGGTTATGGTTGATTTCAAACCGACCTAATTCAGCTTGACTAAGGGATAGTTTCTGCTTTTCCCGTTACATTGAGCAAAAGTAAAGCTGCAATCGAATCGCGCTCTAATTAAATAATTTAGGCTCAAATTCGATTAGACTCGATTCGAGTTCAAACTTTGGAGAAAGCTCAATTAATTATTTGAATTCGAGTTCAATCAATAAAAAGATTGGTTCGAAAACTCATAAATTTGGTTCATACATACATAAATATTATATAAAAATATATTTTATAATATATTATAAAAAATCATATTTATAAATAAAAATATACAAATATGTTTATTTTCAAGCTGAAATCGAGATCATTCAATATATTGGGGAAAAGCCCCCGATATGTGATAATGAATGACCCGCTCCACGTCTTGATTGATTCTTTCGATACACAGTATTATGGTACTCCAAAAGAAGTAACAATTTCTATTTATTTATTCGCAAGTCGTAATTAAAAATTAGTAACTAGTAAGTGAAAACTGCCGAGTCCCGACCTACGAAACAACTGGGCGTCTGCGGATTCGAATGCAAAAAATCAACAAAATTTATGTTACGAGTTTAATTGTAGGATTATTATGTTTTGAGTTTCGTAGGAGTCAATTACTTAAAACCCAAGTTTTAACTTCTCGCCCTTATCACATTTCTCTGGCTGGCCAAGACCAAGCGATACAAAACCTATAGATTGAAAGTGGATGAAAATTTCTGAAAAAATTCCTTTGTGCGGTTGAAGCTTTGTTGTTGTTGTTCTTCTCCTTCATTATCTTCGTTTTCGTTTTATTGCGGTAGCCATGGATGCTAAGATCGGCAAATTCTTTGAGTCCGTTGGAGCATTTTTCAGTGGTGGAGACAACATTCCTTGGTGCGATAGGGATGTCATCGTGGTGAGTTTTTGTTGTCATTTTATAAGGATCCGAGATTTTTTTTTGTTTGCTGGATGGAATTAAAGTTTCTCTAATTTCTACTATTTTAGCTTTCATCATTTATTAATACTCCTAATTGAATTAAAAATGCCTTTTCTCATGTTCTAATTCTATTACTGTATATTGTGTAATTTGGTATTTTCTCTTATTAATTTGGGTGTTCAAGATTCATTTTCATTTTGAGCTGTGAGAATATTCGTTATCTATTCATATTATTTATTTATTTATTGCGCGTGCTTCCCTTTCTATCTTTTTGCCCAACACTTTGCTCTGTACAATATCATAGCTGGCCTTACAATTGTTTTATAGAATTTTCCTTTTAATCTAATCTAAGTGGTATTCTTTAATCACACAAAAGTCCAGATGCACCCCTCAAATTTGCCTAACCTACTCTAATTATTTAACTAAGGTATCAGAAATGGTCACATTATCTCTTAGTCTCCAATCCTAAGTGTATCCTGATTTACACTCCTATTATTACTAAATTTTAGCCCTACTTATTTTAAAACCTCTTGTTTCTAGGACATTTGTCTATAAACTTAATTTTGCATTTAATCCTTCATTAGTTCCATCAATTAAAACAATGTCATCCGCAAACTACATGCACCATGGAACTTCTTCTTAAATATGTTTAGTCAATTCATCTATGATCAGTGCAAATAGATAAGGGCTAAGTGTTGAACCTTGGTCAAGACCCATCGTCATTGCAAAATCTAAAGTCTCTCCCATTCGTGTTCTAATATTGGTTGTTGCCCCCTCATACATATCCTTAATTAGATCTATATTACCTATTTTAAACCCCTTTCTTTTCCAAGACCCACCATATTATCTCTCTAGGAACTCTATTATAAGCCTTTTTTAGATCATTGAACACCATATGAAGAAATATTAGCTTTCATGGTTGATCTCCTTGGCATAAAGCCAAATTGGTTATTTGATACACATGTTTCAAGTTGTAATCTTTGTTTAATTATTCTCTCCCGAAGTTTCATAGTGTAGCTTATGAGTTTAATCCCTTTAGAGTTATTACAGCTTTGTATATTACTGTTCTTACATATATGCACCATACTACTAGTTCTCCAATCATCAATCACCTTCTTTTCTTTTATCATCTTATTAAATAGCTTAGTTAGCCATGTCAAGCCTACCCCTCCTATACCTTTCCACAGTTTTATTGGAATCCCATAAGGTCCTAATGCCTTTCCCTTCTTCATCTTATTTAGTGCCTCTTTTACTTCAGTAGGTCTAACTCTACGGATGTACATATTATTTTTAATACTACTGGTATTGGTAGTTTCTCCTCCATTAGCACCCTTTCTTGTTGATCGTTTAATAAATTTTCAAAATAGTTTTTCCATCTTTGTTTGATTTCTTCATCTTTTACCAAGGCTCTTTGATCTTCATCTTTAATGCATCTAACGTGGTATAAATGCCTACCTTTACTTTCTCTTAGCTTTGCTAGTTTATACATTCCTTTTTTTTTTCCATTTTTAATGCCTAATTTATGTTAAGTCTCATCATAAGCCCTACATTTAGCTTCATTCACTTTTTATTTTTTTATTTTTTAATAAATTTCCTTTCTTATGGTTTTATATTTTTTTTCCAATTTTCTGTATTTTTAACTTTTTCCATTCTTTGTAACATGTGCGTTTTAATCTGAAATTTTAATGAACTTTTACATATCAAAAAAACCCTCTTCATTCCACCACCAAGTTTCTTTAGTATTTTTCTTTAAATTCTCCAAAGACATCCTTTGCTACTTTCTTTATGTTGTTTTCCCACCAAATTCTTGAACACCTATTTTCTTCCCTATTTTTCTTCTGTTCCCTATGTGCATATCTACCTCCACTAATCTATGTTGTGTTATTAATCTTTCTTTTGGAATAACTTTGCAATCTTTACACTCCATTTGTTCTATTCTTCTAGTATGGAAAAAATCTATTTGACTTATGTTTGATCCATTTTTAAATGTTATAAAGTGATCTTCCTTCTTTTGGAAAAAGGTGTCAAGGGAAGAATTTTTTTTTGTAAATTTACTTATATTACCCCCCCCCCCCATTATATGAACTAAAATACCCTAATTACCTAACCCTGCCCCAAACGCTTTCTCTTGGGGTTTTTGAAGCCTAAAATGCAGACATTGCCAGCTTCTGTAAATACCATTAGCAATTGGCTGAGTTACTGAACAACAACTATTGTTCACTAAATTGTGTTTTAAGATTTCAATCACCACTCAGATATTTCTTCAATCTGTCCTCTTTTTCTCTTTACTGTGCCCGTGAAGAGAGGCGATGGAGTTGGGGAGCCAGTTCTCTGTGACAAACAGCAATTCCAGTGTAAGCACCACCAGAATATCAGCCAATTCTAACTCAAAACATCGGCACACAAATCCAAAATGACAAAAGAAAAATAAGACAACTTATGTCATTCTGCAGTTGCAACCATATTGTAAGATACTCCTATTTTCTAAGAGGCAACAGTCTCAACTGGCTCTTTTCTAAATTTCTAAGGTCCAGTTTTCTGGTAGTCTCTTTCTGGAACCATTCAAGCTCCAAAACAGAAAACGGGTGAGAAGAGTGACTAGCAAAACAAAGAACATGTAGAGATGGGAGTTGAAGAAATAACTGGTTCTCCCTTATTCTTGAGGCACAACACAAAATAATCACTTGTAAGCAATGTTTTAAAATGTGGAGGCGTGACTCGAGGCGTTTCACTACCTAGAGGCGTGAGGCGTAGTTTAGAACGCAAGAGGCGTAAGCCTCCTGAACACAAGGAGGTGTAAATCTCCTGAACACAAGGAGGCGTAAGCCTCCTTAAGAGGAAAGGGGTTAGGAGGAGGAAGGGGAGGAGCATGAAGAGGAAGGGGGATCTCATTTTTTCTTTATTTTTAATAAAAATATTTTATAGAAGAATAAAGATGCATAACATTAGTTGAAAGGGGGGGTCTTGTTGAAGTGGAGGCAAGCGAGCGAATTGCTTCAGAAATATGATAAAAGATGAAATGTGATTTGAGGTGGCAGATTTCACATCTTAAGGTGTGAACTTTTAGGGGTTTGAACCTCTAAAGTTGAGTCGTGAAGCATTTTCCTTGAATGCTGCCTTACACTCCAGGTGAGCTTCAGGAAAATGGACCTTATGATGTGATTGATAGATGAAGTAGTTCAAGTAATAAAAAGATAGAGATTAAGAACATGATTGAAGGAGAAGTTCAAGTGGGGAAGAATCTAGGTCTGCTTGTTCTTGGTAGGGCTGCAACATGAATGGGCTGGGTTGAGCCTTTGTTTAAATTTTGATGGACCTGGTCCAAAGTCCCGAGTCTGATTCTGTGTAAATTCAAGTCAGTTGCCTGACTTGTATCCCTATTTCTTGGAGTAGAACATGCAAGGAAAATATTTAGAGAGTTAGAAGACAAAATTAAGTTGGGAATGGTGGTTTAGCTCCAGGAGCTGTCTTGGGAAGGATTTAGCTGAAGGATATGAGAACTATATTGTTTTTATCCTTGGGATATTGTTGGGGTTATGACCTGGTTGATTGCAGAGTACTGTATAAGGGGGAGTATTAGAATCATGGTTCAGTAGGCATTCAATTGTTGGTTTTTTCCTTTATTTTGTTTTTTACCAGTGACAGTTAAAACTTTTATTAATAAGACAGAATTATTTACTGGCATGTCTCAAATGAAAGGCCTTAAAAAGTAGGCAAGTTTGCACTACCTACTCCATACACTATGAAAATTTACATCTGGTCCCCAAATGGGATTCCCTCAATCCCAAAAAAGAAAAAAGTTGAGTGCTTGTTACCCGTTGTTTGACCATTGTATCTGCCAACCATGAGCAAGGTTCAAAATTTTGACATGATATGCCCCATATTGACCATATCAGATTGTATTGGGCTGTATTGATACTTTGAACCTTGACTATGAGCTTGTGTTGCATTCTGCTCAACTACCAATTTACTGTTCCTCGACAAGTTCTGTATTTTCAAGTTCCACTGTGTATTTTTCCAAACTAGTGCACCATTACTTTAGAATCCCCTTCAACCAGGATATTTCTGTAGCTGAGTGCTTTACTAATTTATAACCCTTGTAATACCACCAGAAGTTTGGCCCTTGTGGAATCACCATACTAAATTGGGTCTGAAAACAGAGCTCCTAAATACTTCCTTAGTGCCATAGTGTTTAGTTGATTGGGGAGGTTTTGATAGTTGTTGGGTGGGTGGTTTTAAATTTTATGGTTTGGGTGATTTTGTTGGGGAATGGTTTGTTAGAAGTTCTTCTTGGGTAGGGATGAGTTCTGTTATCTTTACTTGATAATTTCTTCATTTGTTATAAAAAAGAGTCTTATTGTTCTCCTTTTTTTTAGCATTTCTATCTTTTTAGCAGTCTATCTTTTTACCTGATACTGCCTTATTGTTCTCCTTTTTTTTTCCAATTTTTTTGGCTAATACTGCCTTTTTACTCCTTTTCTGGCTTTTATGTATCAGATGCTGCAAATAGAGTCATGCTTTCTTTTCTCATGTAATTCTGCTACCTTTGTGATGTATGTTATGCTGTCTTTTTTTTTTCTGCTATTTTGCTACCATAGTCATAGCTTTAATTCATTACAGGGTTGTGAGAGAGAAGTTTCTCAAGCTGATGGTGTCTCAGAAGAAGCTATGAATGAGAGCATCATGCGGTTGTCATGGGCCCTTGTTCACTCAAGGCAACCAGAAGATGTGCAACGTGGGATAGCCATGCTTGAAGGTGGTTCAAATAAAGCCAATTAGGCCATTCCTCTTTATTTTCCCAATTTTTGTTTTGTCTGTCCTTGTCCTTACTGTTGCTGAACTTGTACCCAAGAATTTTTTCACCTGCTTGATACCATTCCTTTTTTGTGGGGTTATTGGCATGAGGTGAATTAATGAACTTCTCTTTTCAGCTTCTTTGTCCAGTACAAGCAGCCCTCTACAAAGGAGAGAGAAGATTTATCTTCTGGCTGTAGGACATTACAGAAGTGGTGATTGTTCGAGGAGCAGGCAACTTGTGGAACGATGTTTGGAGGTTTGATCTCTGTTTCCTGCTTTAATTTTCCAAGTACTTATTATCAGTTAATTTTATCTACAGTTGCTATTTTGGGTCATATGTTAAAACGCATGTACATGTCAATTTGCAATGGCCCACTAAGCCTAGATGTTCATGTTGTGAAATAACTTCAGTGATGGGATAGAAGCATTTCAAACTTATCATGAGATAACATATTAGAATGTTTTATTGAAGTTTGTTCTTAAAAGATTGCAGTACTTGGAAAAAGAACCATGCACACAGAAATATTTTGGTTTGTTTGCTCATAGTAGGACTAGTTTTCCCCTTCAGTCTGGATGATTAATACAAATTTATTGTATTATAAAAGAGAAAATAGTGTAACATGACATACAAGATGGCGACTAAGAGTCAAGGAGCCTCCTGACTGCCTAAGCTATATGTCCATGCAAAAGGCATTGCATAGGGAAGGACAACCCACTATTCATGTCCACTCTCAAAATTCCAGGTTCTACTGAAGAATTTACCACAGCATCAAATTTTGCTTCACCATGCAAGTACAACTATAGTCTGAGTAACTAGTCAAGATAATCTCCAAGAAACCAAGATCCCCTTCCCCCATTTAACAGTGTTGGCCAAATCCTTTTAATCAATAAAAAGCTTAAGAGCTGCCTCTGAAAGTGCACCCCCCAGGGAAATAAATAAAATAAGAATGTAAAAGAAAAACAAAATCTTAACTTTCTGAGCGACCAAATGATATCTCCCTCTCTTACCTGAAATGGAAATCGTAATTAGATGGACCTTGTCTCCTGGAGCATGTTTCAACAAATTCAACAAAACGTTAAGAAGATTGAACATTCTCAATCATGTGAATCACACCTTATTCCTGAAGCATGAGGGGATATTATTACAACTCTTGTTGTGTATGCCAATTATATTGTGGTGAGAAGGAATTGCCTCTCTAAATTCAACATTTCAAGGCTCTACTACATTCTGAATTTGAGATCAAAGACTTGGGAGACCTTAAATATTTTCTTGGTGTTGAGGTAGCTTGATCAAAGCAAGGTATATTTATCTTGCAGAGGAACTTTTTGTTATATTATTAATTATTATACGTTACAAAAAACTGGGGATCTAAAGCTGTTTGAACTCCTATAGATCCTAACCACAAATTGAATGCTCAAGGGGAATTGTTGTCTGACAACAGGAAATTTTAGAGATTGGTAGGTTGTGTTCTTAGATTACCTTTAACTAGACTAGACATATTTTATCTTTTGGGGGTGATCAAGTAATGTATGCATTCTCCTATAGTCGAATAGTTTGCTCCATGAATGAGAAAAATGCATGCATAATAAAGTTTCTTCTAATTAACAAATAGCTATCATCCTTTCTTAGTCTAGAAAGGGTGATACCTACCTCTTAGTTTAGAAATCACATGCATTTTTCTAATTAACTAGATAGCTATCATCCTTTTCTAAAGGAAAGGTGGGTCTTGCTCCGCTTCAGCTTGCTCGCTTCGCTTGCTCAACTCCGCTTCAACAAGACCCCTCCTTTCAACTAGTGCTATGCATCTTCTTTCTTCTCAATATAAAAGATTTTTATTAAAAATAATCTTAAATGAGATCCTTCTTCCTCTTCTTCCTCCTCATTCCCCTCCTCTCAAAGCCTCCTTGTGTTCGGGAGGCTTACGCCTCTTACGTTCTGAACTACGCCTCATGCCTCTAGGTAGTGGAACACCTTACGTCACACCTCCGTGTTTTAAAACATTGATTGCAACATTCATATATCTGTTACTCATTTTCTTTGGTCATGTTATTTCTTGATTGCCAATACTCTGCTCATACAATATTTCTGCCTCATAACTCTTTTACATGTTACCACAATAATGCTGGTGACCATTTATCTAACTCCTGGTGAAGGCTCCTACTTTAAAGAGGCTATGTCATAAACCACTTCTCACCATATGGAGTTTCTTGTCCATGGAATTAACATCCTCTTCAGGTGGAGCAACTACCTATTAAACTCAGAGGATGGGCTGAATCGGTTGATAACAAAATAGATACATAGGACAAAAGGCCTGGTAAAGGCACTCCCCCAAATAGATGAAGATAAGAAACATGGAAAAGCTTGTTCAACACTGTTAGGATCCCCCACTCTCCTCCTAGCCGGGTTGAGCCAGCCAATGAACCTACAATGGAATGAGGCCTCCCATCAAAAAGGTGTACATCTCCAAGCCACGACAGCCCAACGGACCTCATAATTAGTTATGCGGATCAGAGGCAGTTTTACTTTTGGAATATTCTAGTTGTATTTCTAACAATCTGTTAGGACCTGTGTCAGTCCTCTCTATATATTTCCATGAATTACTAATGGAAGGAGATATCGAATTATCCTTGCAATCTCTCTCTTTTCCCTTCTCCCTTCTCAGGAGGATTGAGCTTCCCTCGAAGAGAGCTCCTGTATTGGGCAGTAACCCAATAATTGGTATCAGAGCCCAAGCAAGATGACGAACAACAGAGCATCCACTGTAGATGAAAGGGTCGATCAAATAGAAGTTGATGTTCACAAGGTTTCAATAGACATTAAAGAAATTAAAGAAACTCCAGCCCTGGTTCTACAACAAGAGAAGGCGGCAGGGAGGGATAGTGAAGCAGAGGATTCAAGTCAGTAGTGAAAGTAGGGGTGGGGAGGTATTCATAAAAAAAAAAGTAGGGGTGGGGAGGTACTTTGAGTACGTCGAAGAAGACCCAATACCCTGGATCTACAAGGCGGAGAGGTACTTCGAGTACCATGAAACACTAGGACATCAGAGGTTACCATTGCCTCCTTCCATCTTGAAGATGAGGCTATCCTTTGGTTTCAGTGGTACCGAAGGAACCACCCCCAACTCACTTGGCAAGACTTCATGGACACACTCTATTATCAGATTTGAACCTACATGGTTCAAAGACTTTGACGAGGACCTATCCAAGCTCAAGCAGGTCGGTTTAGTTCGTGACTATCAGATGGAGTTTGAACGTCTAGCGAACATAGTCTATGGGTGGTTGGAGAAGGCTTTGGTGGGTTGTTTCATAGGTGGACTAAGGGAGGACATCAGGATCAAAGTGAAAGCCCAGTGACTGGTGAAGGTAATCTTGGTAGTAGGGATGGCTCGATTCCAAGAAGAGAGGCTGAATCAAGGGAAGAAGACTGCCAGACCCCTGGGTCCCCTTCTCAAAAACCCACGTGTGAGAGGAGAGGCATCAGCACCACGCACAGGCAGAGCTCCCTCCCAACCGGTCGTTCCCTTTAAATGACTGACCTGGGCGGAGATGCAGACGAGACAAGAGAAAGGATTGTGCTACAACTACGGTAACAAGTTCGCCCTTGGTCACCATTGCAAATCCCAACAAGCTTTTCTGCTTTAGTGTGAAGAACCAGAGGAAGAAATGACTGGACCAAGTGCTGGAGGCGACGATGAAGGTGAGTTCCCTCTTGAGGAAACCCATGAAATTTCTTTACATGCTTTAATGGGCTTGGATTCCGCCAATACAATGAGAGTGGACGGACGGCTTTTGGACCGAAGGGTCTTCATTTTGATAGACAATGGGAGTACCCTTAATTTTATTAACCAGACCCTAACCAAACAACTAGGGTTGGCGATAGAACATCAGCCATATTTTTCAGTATTAGTTGTGGATGGGAACCGACTGGTATGTCGGGGAATGTGTGAAGGGTTGACCATTGCCATTCAGGGCTACAAGTTTCATCTGGACCTATACCCCTTGGAGTTCAAGGGAGCTGACATTGTTTTGGGGGTTCAATGGCTCAAACAGCTGGGCTCAGTGATGTGTAATTGGGCCTAAATGACCATGGGCTTCGAATTGAATGGGAGCACATGCCACTTCAGTGGGGTCAAACCCAACCCACCGCAAGCTATCAGGCTAAACTCTTTGCTTAAGGAGAATCAACTGGTCTTCTCACAATTGGGATGGGACTCTTCTGGACCAGTCTTGGGCCATGGGCCAGACTTTCAGCTGAATGGCTCTCAGTCCCGAGAGCTTCAGCAACTCTTGAAGCAATACAAAGATGTGTTCCTTGAGCCCCCTGGGTTACCCCCAACCCGATCCCAAGACCACAAAATCCCCATTGTACCAGGAGTAGCCTCCACAAAAACTCGACCCTACAGGTATCCTCGTTTTCAGAAACTGGAAATCGAGAGGATCGTTGAAGAGCTTCCGTCTAAAGAGCTGATACAGACCAGCACTAGCCCTTATTTGTCCCCTGTCCTCTTAGTGAAGAAAAAGGACGGTGGTTGGCACTTCTCTGTTGATTACAGGGCACTAAACAATATAACCATTAAGGATAAATTCTCCATTCCCATTGTGGACAAGCTATTGGATGAATTGCATGGGGCTACAATGTTTTCTAATGGATCTTATATCTGGGTACCATCAGATTAGAGTGCACCTTGAAGATGTACCAAAAACTGCTTTTCGCACTCATGAGGGACATTACGAATTCCTCGTAATGCCTTTTGGGCTCACTAATGCTCCCTCTACATTTCAGGCCGTCATGAATGAAGTTTTTAGATCCTACTTAAGGAGGTTTGTATTGGTGTTCTTCGATGATATACTGGTGTACAGCCCAGATTGAACTTCCCACCTAGCCCATTTAACTTCCACATTGGAGCTCCTGCGGAGACATAAGTTGTATGCCAAGGCAAGAAAGTGTACATTCGGCCAGAATCAGGTTCAGTACCTAGGCCATGTGGTTTCAGCAGGGCAGGTAGCAGCAGACCCGGATAAGTTGAAAAGCATGACAAATTGGTCCCAACCCACTTCTGCTAAAACTCTTCATGGGTTCCTAGGGCTGACTGGTTACTATCGGAGGTTTATCAGAAATTATGGGAATATTGTGTTCCCGTTAACCCAACTTTTAAAGAAAGATGGTTTTGAATGGGGGGCGGAGGCACAAATCACATTTGAGACTCAAAGCCGCAGTAACATCACCCCCCACATTAGCACTGCCTGACTTCTCCAAAAATCTTGTAGTGGAGTGCGATGCCTCCGGGGTAGGAATTGGGGCTGGTCTAATGCAGGAAGGTCATCCCATAGCCTTTTTCAGCAGGGCCCTTTCAGCCCAGGCCCGGCTAAAGTCCACCTACGTGAAGGAGCTCATGGCCCTTGTCATGGCGATCCAAAAATGGAGGCACTATCTATTGGGCCGTAGGTTCATAATAAGAACAGACCAAAGAAGAAGCCATGAAGGACCCAGAACTACTCAACTGTGAACAGCAGAAATGGGTGTCAATTATTGGGCTTTGATTATGCTAAAGAGTACAAAACCAGGCTCAACTAGTAAGGTGGCTGATGCACTATCTAGGTCCAGTGAGCTTTTTATGCCTCACCTCTTCCCAGCCCATTTATCCCTTGATGGGCCAGATTAAAGAAGAAGCCATGAAGGACTCGGAACTTATTGGGATCCATGAGAAGTGGTCCCAGGATCCCTCCAATGCACCAGGGTATTCAATGATCAGCTCAACATTGTTTTACAAAGGCACGTTGGTCATTCCAGCTTCTTCTATTCATATCCCTAAGCTTTTACAGTTGTTTCACAGCTTGCTCATGGGTGGCCATTCCGGAGTATTCTAGACTTATCGCAGGCTTGCTGCACATTTCTTTTGGAAAGGTATGAAGAAAAGAGTTCAGGACTTTGTTGCCACGTGTGTCACTTGCCAATGACAGAAATACTAGACTACCACCCCAGCTGGATTCCTTCAACCCTTATCTATCCCCCAACAGGTATGGGAAGAAGTAAGCATGAACTTCATTTCTGGACTACCCCCTTCATTTGGAAAAACTGTCATCATGGTGGTGGTAGATCGCCTCACTAAATACTGCCATTTTTCTGCTCTCTCCCACCCTTATAGTGCTTCCCAAGTAGCCGAAACCTTCATCCAAGATGTTGCTAAGTTGCATGGCATACCGAAATCAATTGTTTAAGACAGGGACGCTGCCTTTATGAGTAAATTCTGGCAAGAATTCTTCAAGATTCAAGGCACTCAACTGAACATCTCCACCAGTTATTATCCACAGACTGACGGGCAGACTGAGGTAGCGAATCGCTGCTTGGAGACTTATCTTCGATGCTTTGCTGGGGGGAAACCACGCCAATGGACTAAATGGTTACCTTAGGCATAATATTGGCATAATACTACATACCACTCCGCAGCAAGGATGACTCCTTTTAAGGCTCTGTATGGGAGAGAATCTCCTGCAATCTTACCTTATGAGAAAGGTAACTAGCAGCAAGCTTAGCAGCAAATGAAACACTTCTATGACAAGAAGCACCAACCAGTTGAATTTCAGGTAGGGGATGTTGTTTTTCTGAAGCTTCAACCGTACATACAATCTACTCTTTCCAAAAGAGCATGGCAGAAATTGGCCCCACTATATTATGGCCCATTTCTCATTCTAGAGAGAGTGGGATCAGTAGCCTACCGGCTGGGTTTACCCTCGGAATCAAGAATCCCTCCAGTCTTTCATGTCTCACTACTGAAGAAAAGCCTGGGGAACCAAGACGTTTCCAGCTCCTCCTTACCCGAGTTCACAGAAGAAGGCCAGCTGCTAATAGAACCCCTGTGGATCACAGACTTTAGATGGGTCAAGAAAGGTGGCAAGATAATCCAGGAAGCAAAAAGCTCATGGACCCACTTACCAGTTGAAGATGCTACTTTGGAACCATATTCCCGGCTTTAACAACAATTTCCACACCTAGACCTTGAGGTCAAGGTCAATCTGAAGGGGGGAGGCACTGTTAGGATCCCCCACTCTCCTCCTAGCCGGGTCATGCCAGCCAGTGAACCTACAATGGCTGGGCTTAATGCTGAACCCAGAATGAGGCCTCCCATTGAAAAGGTGTACATCCGCAAGCCACGACAGCCCGATGGACCTCAGAATTAGTTATGCGGATCAGAGGCAGTTTTACTTTTGGAATATTCTGGTTGTTATTCTGACAGTCCGTTAGGACATGTGTCAGTCCTCTCTATATATTTCCATGGATTACTAATGAAAGGAGATATCGAATTATCCTTGCAATCTCTCTCTTTTCCCTTCTCCCTTCTCAGGAGGATTGAGCTTCCCTTGAAGAGAGCTCCTGTGTTGGGCAGTAACCCAACAAACACTCAAATGTAGACCTGGACCACTTGTTATAATATGGCTTCCATTGATGCATAAAATGTATTTCGTTTGCATAATTGGGTTTTTGGTCACTTGCAGATTCATGACTGATGTTTATTGACAATAGAATGCTCAAGTGTTTGCAGGACTTTGGGTTCTTTAATTTTCTTTTCTTTGTTTCTTTGGATAAGTAGCTGATAATTTATTAAGAATCAAACAGAGAAATCAAATGAACAACAATATCACCAGAACAAAAAGCTCCTGGCCAAAGGAGCTCCAATACAGGAAAAGAAATAAGAAACAAAAAATAAAACTGATAGTAATTATAAATTACAACCCATCCCTGGACATCTCCATTCCAACTGGTCCCTTAATACTCCTGCTTTTGCCAATGCATCTGCCAACAAATTGGCACTTCTAGGAATCCAATTGAATTAGGTATTCACAGAAGCCCCAAGAAATAGTGCCTGCCTTAGCATCGGTCTAAACCTCCAAGCTAGATCGTCTTGATTCTTCAACCAGCTGACAACTGTTTGACAATTCCCTTCAACCTCCACATCTCTGAAACCCTTTAAATTTAAAAGTTTCAGGCCTTGAATAACTGTCATCAATTCTGCCCTTACAGAATTACTGTACCCAACTGGGCCTGAAAACTCACAGGTATATTACCATTCTCATCTCTCACTACCCCCCTCCCCCACGTGACTCCCCTGGATTTCCAATGCAGCACCCATCAAAATTAAACTTAACCCTTCTGGCTGTTGGTGGGGACCACTCCACCAGTCTTTGTTGTCTTGTAGCTTGAAAGCCAGCTACAGCCTGCCATCCTCTCAATATTCACAGAAGCATCCGTCTTTAATTTTCTTTTCTCATGTACTAGAAGTATCAATTTTCTCTGGATAATTCCTCTCTTCAATATTTCAATCAGTTTCTGATTTTATTCTATTTTTGTTTGCTGTTAAGTATTCTTTGCTATTCATACCCCACAATTTCAATGGTTTATTTCAGAACCAAGAAGTCCCTATTTGAAGACATTTAACCATTTGCTACCGAATTTGGAAGCTTTGCTTCCTTTCAAACTCTGCAGCAGTCATGAATGTACTTGATGTATACAACATTATTTCTGATGGACATGTTTTGTAGATTGCACCGGATTGGAGGCAGGCCCTTACCCTGAAGAAGGTTATTGAAGATAAAATTGCTAAAGGTAAATGACAAATGCTTGTTTATTAATTGTTTCACTCTCTAGCACTCATTTGGCTGCTAAGAAATATTACTTCTGTTGAAATGCAGATGGCGTTATCGGCATAGGCATTGCTGCAACTGCCGTGGGACTTCTGGCAGGTGGGGTTGCTGCAGCATTAGCGCGTAGGAATTGATCAAACCTCCGGCAACATATGTTCATAAACCACTGAATCCTTTTGCCTGTCCAAATTTGCCCAACCATTAAATCATGTTTCATCAAACATCCCCTTCTGTCTTGTAAGGATGTTGAAAATTTCATGATACGGAGTTCCTAATAATGTGTAAGATAACATGAGACAATAATGGCTAAAGTTTTTCGTGGTTTTCTTATTATTTATATTAATCAGATTGGTAGTTATTTTCCTTTCTCTCCACATGTATGAATGAAAGTATTTGGATTTTGTATGTAGTCATCGCACATTCGCACCTGATGGTTCATTTCTTCAGGCTTTGCATCTATTTGTTGATGTTTTTTTTTTTTTTTTTGAAATAGGTAAGGTATAATTTATCAGAAATGAAGAAAAGCAGTGTACAATGTAGGGCTAGGGGTGTCCACGGTTCGGTTAACCGAACCATAGCCATTTTTTTCAAACCGAATTGATCCTACTGGTTTTTTGATTTCTCCAAATCAGTAGCATGGTTAATCGGTCGAATGGTTTCGTTTTTTTATATTTGTAATATATATATATATTATATAAATATATGTCTAATAATAATATTAAATTATAAATAATAAATGATATATAATATATGTATATATAATGTATATATATTTATATTTATATATAATATATAGAGAAAATACGTGACATTAAAAATATGTATGTAAAAATATATACCGATTGGTTCAGTTAACATTCATTTTTTTTCTAGGTTTACCGAAAACTGAACTGGTCTTTTGAAATATTGAACCAAAATCGAACTGAGTGATTTGGTTAATCACATTTTTGGTTTGGTTTTCTCGGTTTGGTTCAGTTTTGATTTTTCAGTTTTTTATCAACACCCCTAATATACAAAAAGTATACAAAAGATGAGCTGCTTAATTCAAAACTGGCCTAACAAAGAAAACGGGAAATCACTATCAGTCTCTACCTCACTCCCTTAGTTGATGCCCAAAGAAGATTGATGGAGGATGATTTGACCCAACCCATTGAGACGATGACACCTGGCACCTCATACCAATTAAGTGCAGCCTCTTGACAACTAAGTAGCTCACCACCAGGGAGCTCGTTATCAGGTAGCTCACCACCAGGGAGCTCGTCACCAAGTAGCTCACCACTAGGGCCACCAAGTAGCTCACCACCAGGTAGTTCGCCACTAGGGAGCTCCATCATCCTCTGAGTCACAGGCCACCTGGAAGCAGGTCAAATGACGAAGTACTTAGCCAAAAATTGATACATCACAAAAAAAAAAAAAAATATGGTATGTGACCAGAAACGGTTACATCAAGGAGCCAACATCAAGGAGCCAGTCAGCTGCGTCTTTGTCGATTTGGGCAGCTCAGCAGACATCATCTTCAAAGCGGCCTTCGACTAATTCCAACTTCAAGAGTGCGACCTAAAGCCCGCGAACACTCCCCTGGTAGGCTTCAACGGAGAGAAAGTTCGGCCCCTGGGAAGGGTAACAGTACCTGTGGAATTTGGCACCTGGCCTAGCATAGTGAGGCTCAACCATAATTTCTTAGTGGTCGCAACCCCCTCCCCATACAACGCCATAGTAGGTCGGCCGATTACCCATGCCTTACGGGCTATGGTGTCCACCTACTACTTGGCCATGAAGTTCTCCACGGACTTCGGCATCGGGGTAGCGCAAGGTGACTAGCTTGAGTCTCGCAAATGCTACGTCGCCACCCTCAAGGGAAAAGCCAAGGTGGTCGATGACCTTGAGTTGGAGCGACCTACGGAGCAAAGCGAGGAGCGAGCTGCGCCCACGGAAGAGACTGTCTCTATCCCGGCCTCGGCGGAGGACCCTGCCCGAACGCTTCAGATCGGTGCTTCCATCGAGGAGCCTCTGCGATCCAAGCTGGTACGCTTTCTACATGAGAATTTAGATGTTTTTGCATGGTCCGCGGCAGAAATGTCCGGCATAGACCCTAGCATCATAACTCATAAGCTTAATACTGATCCTGTAGTTAGGCCTGTTAGATAGAAGAAACACAACCTAGCCCCAGAGCGATGGAGGGCAGTCGACGAGGAGGTCGGGAAGCTCCATGCAGCCGATTTTATCAGGGAAGTCCATTACCCGAGCTGGGTGGCCAATCCCGTTCTGGTGAAAAAGGCTAACGGTAAATGGCGCATGTGCGTCGACTACATCGACCTGAACCGAGCTTGCCCAAATGATTGCTTCCCACTTCCCAGGATCGACCGTCTGGTAGACGCGACCTCGGGGCATGAGTTGCTGAGCTTTCTAGATGCCTACTCGGGCTACAATCAGATCAGGATGGACCCTACTGATGAAGAGAAAACTGCGTTTATAACCAAGCTCGACCTGTACTGCTACAAGGTCATGCCCTTTGGGCTAAAAAATGCCAGGGCGACCTTTCAAAGACTTGTAAACAAACTGTTTGAGCCATTGATTGTCCAAAAAGTAGAATGTTATGTAGACAACATGGTTGTCAAAACCCAGTTCTCATGTGATTTAATACAAGACTTGAATTTAGTTTTTGAAATTCTACGTAGATTCAATATGAAGCTAAACCCGAATAAATGTGTCTTTGGTGTCACCTCGGGTAAATTTCTGGGATACATCGTAAACCGACGCGGCATTGAAGCCAAACCGGACAAAATAAAGGGCATCTTAGATATGAGACCGCCCCGAAAAATGAAGGAGGTTTAGAGGCTAAATGGCTGAATAGCCGCCTTGAGCCGCTTCATGTCTAAATTGGCAGATCGCTGCCTACTTTTCTTTAAAGCAATTAAAAGCAAAGGGTTTGAATGGACCCAAGATTGTTAGCTCGCGTTTGACGAGCTCAAAAAGTACCTTGCTGGCATACCGGTCTTAACCAGGCCCGAAGAGGGCGATGTTTTGGAGCTGTACCTCTCGACAAGTGACGAAGTGGTAAGCTCGGTACTAATAAAAGAAGTAGATCGGGTCCAACGATCTATCTACTATGTTAGTAAAGTGCTGCAAGGAGCAGAAACGAGATATCCAAAGATAGAAAAACTGGCATATGCACTGGTTATTGCAGCCCGAAAGCTCCGTCCGTACTTTCAAGCTCACACTGTTATCGTCCTCACCAACAAACCTCTGAGGCAAGTCCTACTCAAGCCCGAGGTTTCTGGTCGACTGATGAAGTGGGCCGTTGAGCTCAGTGAGTACGACCTCCAATACAAGCCACAAACTGCTATCAAGGCCCAAGCCTTAGCAAACTTCGTCACGGAGTGCACTTTCAGCTCCGAAGTCCCCAGGCCGGTTGAGCACGAGGCCCCCAATTCGGGCGAGCCCGGAGCTCCCAGGTCGGTTGAGTCTGAGCACCGTGAGGTAGCAGCTAGTGCAGCATCTCTCTTAGTTAGGCAAGCGCGAACTAGGATGAGGAGCCCTGGATCCTTCACGTAGATGGCTCATCGAACCAGTAGGGCAGCGGAGCCGGAATAGTTCTACACAACCCAAGTGGCATGAAACTGGAGTACACACTATGCTTTGAGTTCGCGGCATCCAACAATGAAGCAGAGTACGAAGCATTGATAGCCACGCTAGCTCTATCCAAAGAAATGAAAGCCAAGCACATTATCATCTGCAACGATTCCCAGATCCTGGTCAATCAGGTCACAAGAGAATACGAAGCTTAGCAATAAAAGGCCGAGTGGATGCCCTCAGTGCTAGTCCGAGTGAGACCCGAAGCAACTAGGGTCCTTTCCGATCATGGACAGACTATTCTACACCTTTCTGTGAAGTGTGATCATTTAGAGGCTCTGAAGCTGTTGATAAGCTTGGTGTTAGCGGGCGACGATGAGTTTGTGAACTTCAAAGATGATAAATTGATAACGGCAACACTATCCTCCATCTTGCTATGTCTGGCTAAGCAGGTTGAGGTATGAGTCCGGGTTGCAGTTGGTGAACTCCAACTAAGTTATTTCCTGACTTCTAAAATGTTGGGTAACTAGAAATCTAGTATCAATTATATATTCCTTAAGGCTGTATTTGATTTGAAGAAAAAAAGTAGAGAAAGAAAGGTAGGAAAACTCATACAAGATTTGTATAGGTTTTCTTACCTTTCTTTTACTTTCCCTGCATTTTCCTTTAAACCAAACATAACCTAAAAGATCATTAGTGAAAGAAACTTTTGATAATGGAGAATTTTTTGATAATCTAGAACATATGATAGGTTGAGAAATTTATATTTTGAAACTTGAAATATAAAAGCTTTATTATTTTATTTGGTTAAGTGCTAAAAGGTTAGGATTACTCATAGATTTCTATTTTATATATGAATGCTTGTCAATTCCATCATTGCTATCTTAGTCCATCTTATATTGTTTTTTATCATTTATGAACCTTAATTGATCCATTTCTAATTTTTTTTTTAGGCTTATACCCGACCTTTTTCAGTCATGACACCCCAACCACACTTTTAGCCCTTTAAAACCGTGAAGTGAAGTGAGAGAGAGAGAGAATAATTTCTTTGAGGAGATAATTTTTATAGGTAAATCAATCAACTCTCCAATTTGATAAAAATACGAGTCTGATTTTAGATATATATAGATAGATAGATAGATAGATAGATAGATAGATAGATATTTACATATATATAAATTAAAAAAATAATTATTAATTTTTATTCAGTTTAAAAATGGAATCAGATTAAATCAAAATGTGATCAATGTCTGATATTTCAAATGTCAAACTGATTTGGATTTCAAATTGCAATAATTGGATTGGATTCAGATGTAGGTGAATCTGATAACCCAATTCAAATCCCACCCAACCTTAATGCTTTGAATCCATGTTCTCATACTTATTAATTTTTATTTTTGAAAAAGGTAAAGTATTAATTGAAGGAAAAGTATACAAGGTGTATACAGAGAGAGGCATAAAAAGAACGACCTCAACCAATAAAAGAAAAAAACCTCTAAAAAAGGTCTAAACCTAATCCCACATAGTAATGGGACTAGGGCCCAAACAAAACAACACAAAGACCTCAAAAAAGGGGGCCACTAAGCAGCCTCAATCTACATATAAACACATCAGAGCACAGTATTAAACTAGTTAAAAGAACTATGTTTTGAATAATGGTGGGATCGAAAAAAGTTATTCACTTGAGAATATTTATAAGTTAATTATATTAAAAATGAATTAAAATATATTTAAATTAAAATAAACAGTTTATTTCATCCAAGTAGAAATGTTACAAATATAAAACTACATATGCAATTTTTTAGGCCTTATGCCTCAGAATGCTTTCAGGCTCACGGCTTCCTCCACTTCTTTCTCTCTCCTATAAAGTGAGAATCACATCATTTTACTTTTTAAAAACAAATTGGACTCAAATAGATTTGGTCCTCACATGACAGTGTCCTTACAGCCTTGTATATTGAGAATATTTCCTCATGAAAAAAAAGCATACAAATATGAAGATATTCATAATGCATGACTATAAGCACGATTTTGTGAGAACTAAATCTGAACGACACCAGACTTAAAGCAAAACTAAATCAAAATTTACATTTAAGTGGGTCATTTACTGGGTTGGTTGGTTAGATGGATGGATTGAAAGTCAACCAAATCCCATCCCACCCAATTGCCACTACCAACGTACATTGTAAGAGCATATATATACATGCAAACTGAATCAACCAGATCCAACACCAAACAAGTTACTAAACAATAATCCAAGACAAGTATAGTGTAAGAATAAGTCAGTGGTACAGCTGGCAACTTTATCTGATGTGGCATCACAGGTTCCAGAAATATCTTTTAAGAAAAAAAGTATACGTCCTTGAATCAAAAGAGCGGTTCTGTCTCACTAGCTTGCATTTGGACAGTCGCTTTCTCCCCTTCTTTCTCTCTCTTTTTCCCTCTTCTCTGCAATCATTAACATTAAACAAAGAACTATGGCTGCGTAAACAAATGGAAAATTGTCAAAGGGAATCTTCTATTTCCAATAGTTTCCACGTATAACCACAGTAGTCTACAGCACTGTCAGCCATGGATAGTAGAAGTAATGCAAGTTTCATAAATCATTCAAATCATTCAAGCTTTATACAAATTTAACAAGTAAGCAAAATCACAAGCTAAGTGATTGGATATGATTAGGGGTGTTCATTATATAATGGTTTAAATCGTAAAACCAAACAGAATTAAACTGAATTTGTGATTTGGTTTAGTTTACACCTAAAAATGGTTTGGTTCAGTTTGATGGTTTTTTAAATTACAGTTTACAGTTTCAGTTTGGTTTATTGGATTTTATAAATCAAAATTATATATAATGTAAATGTATAAATATAATATGAATATATGATATAATATATCTAAATTGAATGCATAAAATTATAAATGTATGATAAACTCTTTATTTTATAATAAAATAATAAAACAAAAATTTTAAGTTTTAATTTTTAGGGATTCTAATTGGATTAAGTCCAATAGAATCATGGAATGGTCCAAATCCCCAAATCATATTAGAAATTGTATCAAATTGTAATATAACGGTTTGGTCTGAATTGGTTTTCATACCAAAACGATTTAGTTCAATTTAAAAATTTCTTAAACCGTAATTTACCAATTTAGTCTAAGATATTCTCCAAACGTCACCAAACCGAACTGTGAATACCCTTATATATGATACTGTTAGGTTATTCACAAATTGCATCCATATTGTCCTTCCATTTTATTTCAAAGAGAACTGAAGTTGATCAGGATCAACCGATAATATCACTAACATTAATCAGTTTGGAATAGGTAAAGAAAAGCATCACAGTCTTGTTCCAAGAAGGGTCGTCAAGAAATCCTTGTAGTCTCCTGATGTGTCACCAACGATTGCATCGTCGAGGCTAGTTTTGTGCATGTTGAAGTACTCTTCTTTGATCTTCATCAGGTCAACTTCAGCCCGAGTAACAATGGCTCTGGTTAGTGAATCCTCCTCTGTTCCAAGCCCAACAACTGAAGCTCTTAAAACCTGTTTAATTTATTATCAGCCAACCAAAAAAAAATATACTCTTCAGCAGAGCGGTCTTAATGAATCACTGATAACAAAATAAATATACTTTACTCATCATTTTCTTTTTCACCTTTGAGAAGTATTTCTCCGGCGAATCAATACACCAAATAACCATTTGCAAGACAGATTCCAAGTTGCCGGTGCCACAACACTTAATGTCCTTTCATGGAGAACAAATAAATGGATAGATGATACAGACTTCAATAGGTTTGGGAGTATTTATTTGAAAAAAAAAAATATGTGCTTATCAAATAGGGATAATATAGGTATTTTCAAAATAACATGGTGGGCCAAGACATGTCAAAAAGGAAATGAGAACTACTTATTGAATTTGTGTTTATTTTTGGAAAATTATCTAAAATTCACCATAACTTTTTAGCATTTCTCTTAAATTCACCATAACTTTTTAAAACGTTCCAAGAACCCTACGTCAATGAGTTTTTATTTTCCAAAACTCACCATCCCGTTACATCACCCTAGTATACATTGACAGAAGTTGTCCACAGCCTTATTAAACATAGTTTTGACAATTTATTATGAATTTAAGAGGAATGATGAGAAGTCATGGTGAGTTTTAGACAATTTCCTTTTATTTTTAAGTGCTTGTTCTTATAAATAAACACTTATTTGGACTTATTTAACAAACACAAATAAATGCTTTTTAATGTGGTTCCGGCCCCAAATAAATGATTATTCAAATAAATACTTATTTGTAAACACTTCCAGACTTGGGTAGCATTTGGCATTTCCTATCATAAGGATTTATCTCCTTTTTGCTGTTCAAATTAATACCTGTGAATAGAACTTTTAACTGCAAAAAAAAGAGTTAAGTGCTTAAAATAAGAAATGCCAAATATCATATTTATTGAATGGCCTGAGGAAATATATATACCTGATCGATGGGATTCCCATATATTTGCCTGTAACACTCAAATGTTGCTCTGAGTTGAAACACGTTCCTTGTACAGAGTATCCACACCACATCATCATCATCCAGCTGCTTCCTTTCAATGGCATCCCGAAGCTTTGCTGCTTCCGATTTCGCAACAATCTCGTCCACAACTTCTTTATCATATCTATAGGAGGACACTAAGCCCACAAGAAGCTGTATGACATATATATATATATCCATGTATTAACTTCAGTCAGAAAGCTGAGAGCAAGAGCAACTCATCCAGCACTCAATACGACAGCTCTAAGCGATTTAGTTACAGTGAGTTCATGTCCAGTCGAGTGAGTTGACTCAGTTCCACCACCTGGTTGGTTGTGGGAGGTGAGTTTGGACTTTGGATTACCTTACCTGTCTAAGAGGTGGTGTTACGCGGCATGCGATATCTTCCTCGAGGGAGCAATCGTACATGGAGCAATAAGCTTCCCTCACAGCCATCAGATGATGTGGGGACGTGGTGCACGCTATCTCGATGATCACTTTAAGATGATCTATGCCCTTGTCCTTACTCTGCAGAGCTTTGTTAGCCATTTTCGCATCTCTTTCCGGAGGATCCATTGTCCATAGTATCACTGCTTTCTGTTCTCATCGTAAAGTTAAATGTTACGTGAAATGACGCTTTATCTAGACTTCAAATTTTGCTTTGGTGCTTGTATTTTGGCTTCACTGTGTTTTCAAAGAAATTCTTGACAAAGGCTAGCTCAAACCATTTTCTGCCTCAATTTTGGTTTTCATATAGAGGCTTAATTTGCATTTATCTAACGCCATCCAATCCAGCTCTATGATTGATATCCGAGCCAAATGGATAATAGCAAGGTTTTTAAAACCGTCCCGGACACTGAACGGGTCAGGGATCCGGTTCCCGGTTGAACGGTCCAATTGTTCAAACCGAATGATTGACCCGTTCTGACAAAAAATAAAAAATGGTCAAAATCATTGAACAGTTCAAATGGTTCAATGCCCGGGTCAGCGATTTACTGACCGAATTAACATTTTTTGACAAAAATCCGGTTTTAGAGAAAAATAGAACCGGTTCCTGATTTTTCAGATCCAACCGTCCGATCCGGTCAGGTTTTGAAAACCATGGATAATAGTGTTAGTTTCAAACATACATAGACAGTTAAGCATGAGGAAAGCAACAATCTTCTGGTGTTTCGTACAATGACATGGTGTTGCCCTTGGTTTATCGATACAAATTTGTGATAAAAATGTATTGCCACATCTTACATAGGTTGTGTTTGGTTGCAATGCAAACTTATTTACAATAGTACAAATGTATGGAAGTGCAAATGTAAAAAATGTAAATTCTTGTTTAATTTTATTTTGGATTTTACTTTATTGATGTCTTAACTTACTTCATTTGTACTGGAATCAAACAAAATAAGTTAAAATTTGAAACAAAAATAGGTCAGAATTTACACTCAAATCATTTGCACTAACATAGTTGGTTTTGCATTAATACAAATTTATTTGCATTGCAACTAAACATGGCTTAAGTGTCATGTCAATTAGAAAACTGCATATGTAAGAAACATTATATTTGATTATTTTAAGTAAAAATAGTAACAAAACGTTTTCAAAACATCTAAGTAGAAAAAACCTTTTTCATACAAAATGTGTATGGATCAACCTAAAATACAATGGCAAGACAAGTGTAACAAATAACCCCCCACCCCACCCCACCCCATTTGATATCATAAGTTTCGGCTACAACATGCTGGGAGAAAGGATTATCTAGACACAATAGCTGTTCAGATGATAATTCTCCATGCTAGTATTTAAATACATGGAGCCACACCTCTCACTATGGGACCTATGAATTTATTACTGCCAACCATTGTGTTTTTGCTGGAAAGCAAGAATGTTTTAGCATAATTTGAGTTTTTTGTTATTCAAAAATCAAAACTATGATTGTAATCAAATCTAATCCACCATCTACATTTGAAAAATAAATAAACTTACGATATATCATGTATGAATAATACTTATTTTTTTGTATATATTAAATTAGATTAAATAAGATTAAATGTGCGTGTAATCCAATTATTTAGGTGGCATTCAGTACTGTGTAAATATCTGATAAGATATGGTATTTTGCTATGTAGACGGTCCCCGTCCACAAAATAGCGTAGACAGGGACGGGCCACACCCCAATTTATTGTCCACTGTATTTTCTTGTGGATAGTCCACACTATGGTATGGATAAATTGTGAAAAGGTCTCAATGTAACGCAGTTACGTCACATTAGTCCAATTACTCTTATTTTATTTAATCTTTTAATAATTTTTAAATTTTTTATTTTTAATATTTTATCAATAAAATAATAATTTTTAATGTTAATTCTAGCACAAGTCCGACAGTTATCCTTTTCAACTTTTTTTCATTATTTAAATATTATTTTTTTAATATTTTTATCAATAAAATAATATTTTAAATATTATTTTTTATTTTTTAAATATTTAAAATAATATTTTTTTTAATTATTTAAAAAATGCAATTTGTTGCTTATATATTGATGCCTTTTTTTCAATTTATTTACTATATAAAATACAAAAATTGAACATTTATAATCCATTGTGTAGATCTCTCATAAAATATATATAAAATAAAAAAAGGTCACACACCACGTGTGAACTAATTCAATCCACATAATCTATACACAAATCAAAACAGTTTTAAAGTGTGATGCGGTGTGAATTGATTGCTACCAGAAGGTGTGAATTGTCCCAATCCACACCCACACCCACTAATTTATCACCCTATGCAGCCCTAATCATTAAGGGCATAGTAACCCAACCAAGCAACCAGCCAATAGATGGAACTCAAACCGGCGAATTTTGGTAATTGGGTCATGGGTCAAACAGAACGTGGGCCTTATCTGGCCTAACTCCCAAGGTTGCATGATGGCAAAAGTCTACCCGACAACGACGTCGTAGCTTAAGCCGCGGAATGGCCAATAAAATCGGATACGCATATAAACACCATTTTCAGTCTGCAACTCTGCATGTTTATGGTCTGTATGCGACGCGGTTCATTTTGATTAGTAATGGCTGCTTAAGCTGTGATTTGGTCGTAGTCAGACTCCCATACCAGAGTGAAAATCAAAAGCCTTGTTGCCAATACTATAAAAAAATTTCCCAAAATGGAAGCCTTTGCACTACTAAAAACCAAAGAAAATGAGAGAAAATGAGCAGTGAACAGGCAAAAGATTTGCATACTCCTGATAATCGATATGGTTTCTATCTTGTAATTGAAATGGAAATTTGAATAAAAAAACAGAGAAGAAATGGTGTGAAAAAGAGAACCTTGAAATCGCCGGAGAGTTCGGATTTGAGACGATCGATGAGAGACTCGTTGTAGAGTTCTTGATAAGTGTATCTGATCTTCTTCCGCTGGCTTGCGTTCCTGTGACCCAGTATCCAAATGATCGCCTTCTCGTCCGTCCCCAGTCCTGCACTCATTCATCATCATCGTTTTCCTCGTCATCATCACAAAATAGAGATGATAGGATAGGGGGAGAGAGAGAGAGAGAGAGAGAGAACCATGGAAAGCTTTTTTCAGTTTTTCACTGTCTTGGGTTGGAGAAGGAGCCGTATCTGGTACTTTCAGAGTGGCCATTTTGTTCTCCTTTCTGTGGCAGGTTCCTTTCTGAAACGAGAAGAAAGATAATAGGGTATCTTGCATTCATTAAATGAGGAGAAATTAAATGTTGGATTGGATCACGGGAACAGTTTTTCTTCTCTTCAGTCGTTTTTTTCTTTCTACACGTGTCTCCATATATCGCCGAGATAAAAGAATCCAAGCTTTCTCTTGATTTTTGCCGATATACCCTTGTCTATCTTCAAATTCGTAGGTGTTCCCTTTTACATGCGATTTTTTCACTTGTGCCCATGTACTTTCAGTTATTTGTGTTTGTATCCTTGTGCTTTTCTATACTTATTCCACTATATGCAAATAAAGAGAATTAATGATCAAAATGAATTCAACAGTTTTGATTAATTATTATTAAATTTTTGTAATGAATCTTTGCTAGTTTGTTGGTGGTGCAATTTTATTTGCACTGACATGTTTCAGCTTCTCTTTTATTTTCTTTATTTGTATTGCAGATAGAATAAAAATGTAAGATAAAAACTGAAGCAAAGTAAGACAAAAGCCAATTCAAAAGTGAATCAAAATTTGCATTTGTATTTGTGCAAGTGGAGCCTAGATAGGATCTACCGTGAAAGGAGAAACTAAAGCCATATGGGACGTAATAAAGATTAAACAAATCAAATAGAGATATCTATTTATATAGTGAAGTTAAATGCAAAAGGTGAAAGTAGGGGAAAAAACTCCACATCTGATCTTGCATCACTCTTATTTTTTACAATATTTCGTCCTTCAATTTTCAAGAATTAATTATTAGATATAATTAGAGAACATGTACTATTCTTCACCCAGCCAAAACCAGCTAGCCAAGTGGAAAGATGGAATTAATACCAATACAAGTGAAACTATGGGTTGCCACCTCAGCTCTCATCATGAGTAAAAAAAATGTTTATATATATATATATATAAATGTATTTATTTCTCTAACAAAGTAAAATTTTGTTTATATATACAAAATAAAACAGCAAAACTGACTCCAAAAAGCAATAAATAAAGAGATACCCTTGATAGATGGAGGATCAATTGATTTGAAAATAGAACCTTAACCAAATGGGCTATTGGTTAAGGCAGCATTTACTTTATTTACATAGGTAATAATCAAGAGAAATAAACTATATAGCATTACAAAATAAGGTTGTATTTGTATAAACTTGAGAATTTGTGCTTCTAAATCCCAAAAGCACAAAACCCCAATTTTAAGCTTGTGTTTTATTTCAAAAAATTGAGTTTTTAAAAGCAATTCTTACCAAACACTCAAAAGCACATTTCTTACCTCAAATTTTGTATTTTTCACAGCCCAAATTAAGCTGCAAAGCAAAAGCTTATCTAAAATGCCTATAAGACCACTAACAACAACAATTGTTTTCAACTCTTAGCTAATTTATATGGTCAATCAAGCTTCAAATATGTATGGCTCTTGGAGTTGCCACGTGGACAATTGATCATATACACGTGTCCAAAAATGCCGGCCACTTCTATGAGGTGATCTCTATAGGCATGCAGTTCAGGCTTGAGTTCTAGACATGATTCAAACTAAAAATTTCAATAACGAGCATCTAAAACTTACTATACCAATCTTTCATTCTCTTAATTTTTCAGTCTGATTGGCTCTAATATTTAAACATATAGAAATTAACCCCTTAAATCTTACTATATGGTGTTTGCCGAAAATCGATTAATGCATATTATTCAAATATGATATGATACGCATGGATACTTTGAACCATGGTTTTTGATATACAGGATGAAAGTATTATGTGCTAAAAAAGTGTATGTGCCTCCTTATTTCTACTTTTCTCACTGAACATGGGGAGAAATTCTCCATCACTAATTAGAGACCTGCAATTACAGGTGTCAATGAATCGGTTTTGGGTTAGATTCTGTCCAAATCAAAATTCATTTGGACGAATTAGATGAACCAATAAGACATATTGAATTTAGACAGATTGAACGGACCAATATGACATATTAGATTGGATCTTGTCCGTCCATAATGAATTTATATTGGATTGAACCAATATCTGATCCATTGATAAAAGATAAGAACATAGGTATCAATGGACCAGATTTGAGTTGAAACCAATCTAAATTAACAGGAATTTGAACAGATTGGACAATTTCTAGACCGATCCAAAATATTCATTGGGCTGAATTGAACCAGGTCCAATTGTAATGGACTCACATTTGACTGGACAGGATTGGACCAAATCCAGTCCAATTAACACCCCTACCCGCAATTGATGACAATCATAAAAGGCTTATCCAAATTCATGAAGTTATGAATAATGGCCCACCCAAGTAATAATAATGCATGGGAGATGAGTTGAATTGTCACTTATTCTTGGACTATATCAATAAAGTGTGTAGGCCCTTCACTCTACCAACAAAAGTGATTGCAAAATCGCCTTTGTGTGATAATCATGTAAATACAAAGAGAAAAAAGGAAAAAGAAGGAAATTAAAAGAAAAAAATAATTACATAATAGCATAAGTTAAAGCAATTTCTTGAGAACCAAACCAGATAAAAATGGTTCAGGTTAGACCTCCCACCATCCTGTACTAACAAAAACAAAATCCCTAATGTATCAATGTTTGGCTTACTTATAATTATTTTCTTACTTGTAAATATTTTTTTTCTACTTATACTTTTCATATTTTTACTAATATACTTACGACCTCATTCAGCATGATAACAGGTCAAACCGCTTGAACCAGACCATTGAACCACTAAATTATGAGGTGCCCATTCAATGATTTTATGGTCAGTTGCCTAGCAATTAAAAATATGGGCAGGGTTTTTCACAAAATAATCCACCCCTCATATCAACACAACCAAACCTTTTGGTTATTTTTGTTCTTAGTGGAGGGGGAAATTCAGCAACTTGTGAAGTTAGGGGGGTTATATCTAAGCAGAGTTCTGAAAATGGTAATAGTCTTAATTAGAACATTGCTGTTATTCAGTGTTTTATCTATTATAACGTTTTCATAGACTGTTTCTAAAACAAAATTTAAACGTTTAGAATTTAAATGGTTTAACTGCGGCAAAAAATTAATGGTTTAAATTCTATATATTAAAATTAATTAATTATATATATATATATATATATATAATGGTATGGGATAGTATGGGATACAAGGCAGTTATCAAATGTTATTAATGATGATCTTACCTGCACAAAAAAGCAATCACATGCATGGTTCAAAATGAAATGTTAAGGATATGGACGTAATAATAATAATAATAATAATAATTCAATTTTAAATCAATTCAGTGGTCTGACCCAGTCCAGTGGCCCATTCAGGTCTAACTTCTAAACCCTTCTAAAGGCCCAAAACCCTGCCTGGCCTGTTATCCAACATCCCCTCGGTGAAATGTTCTAAACTGAAACCAAATTGAATCAATCGGTTAACCAGTTGATTGATTTAGTTTTTGGCTGATTCAATTCTGTCGTATTTTAGATTTATAATATGAATTATAAAAAAATGTATATATCAATCAATGCGAGGGGCTTTCCCTACAAAACGGAAATGAAAATCTGAGGCACGAGGTAATTTGATATCATACTGAGGATGTAATAAATAATAATATTAAAAAGCAAGGATTCAAATCATACACTTGGCTGGGTACTTGGGTTACTTTTCTCATATCTTCAGCTCGTTTAACACGAGGACTTCAAAATTTTATTATCAAACGTTATATCAACTTTCAATACAGAAATTATTTGTGGGGACCCACTGGTCATTTTTCCCTTTATATTGAAGGCCTAATTAAGAATACAAGGACATCCAGTTTGCATTATTAATTGCTTAACAAAAACAAAAAAAAAAAAGAAAACACAAGAAAAGAAAACTTCTCGCTAATATAAGGAAGAAAAATATATATTTAAGTCGATATTATCATATAATGACCATAATGCCCATTGACTTTAAAATGACAAAATTGCCCTTAGATTTTTATATATAACAACATCAACATGCAGAGAAGAGATCGCCTTCCTTATCGCTGCCTTGCTCAACTGTTGGAAGAAAGAAGACAAAATGGCTTTCCCTCAAGATATTGATGCACTCACAAAGGCTTTCTCAGGTTCTAGGGGTTTTTTTTCTTAATTTAATTTTTCCTCCTTTTTTATTTCTTCTCTTCAGTCGTCATTGTTTTACAGAAAATTTCCTTTTGTAATATAATATTTAGTTTTCACTATTCTACAATCCTTCTAATGAATTATTTCTATTGGTAGGTTCTATTTTCTCTGCTATTGGGTTGCTTTCCTGTAGGGAATTTGTTTTAAGTATTTACATCGGAATTGCAATTCCGCTCTTCTGTAGGATTTGGAGTGGACGAGAATGCAATAATATGGATATTGGGCAAATGGTATCCAGAGCAAAGGAGATCCTTCAGGAAGGGATGCTCCCAATTCTTCTGGGAAGACGAACGTCTCTTCGAGAGGTGGGATGATAACCATATCGCCTTCCTCGAACGTGAATTCTTGCGTTTTAAGGTAATATATTCTGGTGATCATCATCTATTCTTTCTTCTTTATCTCTTTCTCTCTTTCTTGTTTCATCTATTTTTTTTTTTTTTTAATATTAGTAAGGACATGTTTGGGAAATCTGCATCTCCTGTATACAAAAACTCTATACACACTCCGACACACATTACATCGAGAATGTTTACATGTATGTTAAATTAATCTAAAAGAAGACATTGCCGATGTCTGACGGGATAAATCTACTTTTAGAGTGTGTACAGAATTTTTGCTCGTAGGAGATCATGTGGTAGGTTTAGGAGAATGCTTTTTGGTTTAAATGGGCTTTTTGAGAAAAAAAAAAAAAACGTTTTTTCTAGCTTTTTTGTCAAACGACTTTTTAACTGATTTTTGGCTTCTCTAATGTAAAAATTGAAAAAAAAAATCATTAGAAAAGTACTCATCATTTGTGTAATTTTATATTCTACTTTATATGTAGTAAGATATTTTTCTACCTCATGGAGTATGCAATAATTCTCAATGATTTAGGGGTTGTATTATGGTGTGGAGAGTGCATACAGTTAACATCCTGTTTTCAAGTAAATTCTGAGCTGATCAAATTCAATGGCCCACCACATGCATTTGATGGTAGAGTTTTCACTTTTCAGTAGGGTTTCGGTGGAGCCAAAGCTCATTTCTTATGTTTTTTCCTTTTTTTTTTTTAATCCTCTCGTATGTATAATGGACCAATGAACATGAGGATGGGAGGATGGCAGCCTCACATTCATCCATATATTTATTTTCTTCTGACTTTTTCCCTCGGATCTATCATCTTTTTGTGCGCTTGTTTTGTGGGCCCCAGAATAATGATCTTTGCTGTTCTTTTTTATCCGTTGTGGGCCCGTTGATACCCGCTGATCTGTTTTACCCACAGAATGCTATGGTGTTGTGGATATTACATCCTTGGGAAAGAGATGCTCGTATGGCAAAAGAAGCATTGAAAAACAGGGAATACGATATTCTCATTGAGATCGCCTGTACCCGATCATCTGAAGAGCTCCTCGGGACAAGGAGGGCCTACCACTCCCTATTCGACCATTCAATTGAGGAAGACGTTGCATACAGTGTCCATGACAACAACCGCAATGTGAGTTGTATAGAGTACATTAGTACCCACCAGTGTGTGTTGCTCTTTCACGTCATCGAATTGGTGGGCCTCCATTTGAATGGGCTAGTAATCCATGTTGTGACCATAACTTCAGCCATTATAAATTATAGACCAGGCCCCCCTACCAAGAACTCATTGGGCCTTTAAAGCCTACTAGGCTTACGCAAAACTTCATCCTTGTCAACGGTAAATGGACCATTAAGGCTGTGTTTGGTTTGATAGGAAATAAGACAAACAGAAAGTTGAGGGAAAGTTCTCAAGGAATCTCACATAACCTGTTAAGAACTTTCCCTAACTTTCTGTTTGTCTCTATGTTTTTGTCAAACCAAACATTGCCCAAGTCATTCCCTGAATACCTCAAAATCGATTATTTCTCAGAAAGTTATTTGGAGAAGTACATTTCTCCTACCAAACAACCACTTAGGTGGCATTCGGCAGACTTTTGTTTTTTTATAAACAGTGATTACAAAAATAACTTGCTCAAATAAGCTGATCTGGCACATGTATTTGGTGCTACTCAAACACCAAATTAAAGCTACACTTCTTGCCAAAGAAAAATTAAAGCTACACCCAACCGGATAATGTATTCTCAATGGAATCGTTTCAAGAATGCCATGTCAGCATGAGACTTTCACTAACGTGATTTAACAGGAGTTGTATCAAAAATCAATTTTCAAAATGGTGGTGTGGTCCTAATTTGTGGAAATTGATTGCACAGAACTTGGAAGCCGTGCCAAACACCACCTAGCCCTAATCTCAAAATAGCATATATGATTAACATTAACTAGCACTACTAACTTGTAATATTTGTGTGCTATAACAGCTCTTGGTTGCACTAGTAAGCTCCTACAGATATGAGGGTCCAAAAGTTAATGAAGAAATAGCCAAGAAAGAGGCCAAGACTCTCTGGGAAGCCTTCAAGAATGTTAATAAGAATCCCATTGAAGATGGAGAGGTGGTGAGAATAATAACAACCAGGAGCAAGCTTCATCTCAAATCAGTTTTCAACCATTACAAGGTGGTATCTGGCAAAAACATTGAAGAGGTATGCAGTGAGCAAGCCTTCTTAATGCCATATGAGAATTGTGCAGTTCTATTCCCCTCTTACACAGAGCATGTACCCTGAGATGTTTGTTTCTATTCCCTTGTAACTGTAAGTCCATATAATGGATTAATGCTTTTATCAGGATCTGGAAGAAGACTCAAGCTTAAAAGATGCAATTCAGTGCCTTTCCTCTCCTAAGGCATATTTCAGCAGGGTAAAGAAGGACCTGTCAAACAAGATGTTCAGTTCTATGTTTTTAGTTTATTTTTCTCATTATTATTTCTGGTTTTCAGATATTGGATATAGCAATGATGGGTGGAGCAGATGAGAAACATAAAGAAGCTCTGACTCGAATAATTGTAACTCAAGCTGATGCCTACATGAAGGAGATAGCAGAGGAGTACCTTCAGCAATATGGGGTTTCCCTCTCACAGAAAATTGAAGAAACAACTAAGGGGAACTACAAGGATTTCTTGCTTACCTTGGTTTCTCGAGGGGTCTAGTAATCCTTTCACAAGAAGCAGTTGAACTTGTATCCTGATATTTTTCTTTCTAGTTCATATCTAAGTTCCATTAGATTAAATTGGTTCTCATATGTAGTTTTGTGTGATTTTTTTTCTGTTTCATGCATCATTACCATGTTGTTGGCCAAAAATGAAAATTTCTCCTCTATAGAGATTTTCACCATGCAGTTTGTCTCTATGAATAATAAATTTTAGTTGTCCCTGTGAATCAAAAGCATACCACATAATATGTCATTTATTATTATCAATTCAATTTTTTTCATAAAAAATCATCAATACAATTGGAGTTCTTTAATTTCTCAGATATTTTGTAATAATTCTGAGATTGGTAGACTTATATCTGATATTCCAGGATGAACCAAGGTGAAATACCACTAACTAAAGAAATATGGTAGAGAAGTCCCTACATTTTGACTACAAAATGTGAAAGAAAATCAACTGGCTTGTTAACTTCTCTCTGAAGACAAACTATTTCTCATCCATGGAAACCAGGAATTCAAGGTCTTGTACAGTTGGTGCATGCTTTTGCGGAAAATTGTTAAAGGATAACTGAAAATGCCTCATGTTTGAAGAACCAATATGGATATAGAAACTCTTAAAACCAGTCACAGTCTAAGTAATCATCTCCTAGAATATAATCCGCTTGAGAATACAAAGGAGACCTTCCAACAAGAAATCTTCACAAACCCTTAGTCATTATCCATCCCTGATAAAGAACACCATACTTCAAAACATGGATGATAAAAAGAAGACAAGAAATAGATTATCCGAGCATTAAGATAAGTAAAATAATGTGTCTTGTGCTGACTAAGAAACCTTCAGTTGGCTCAAGGCTCAACCATATAATGAAACTATGCCTATGAGTATGACCTGAATTAAATAATTCCATTCAACAAGTTCTCTGTTTCTTCATATTATTTCAATTCCGAGATGGTTTTAGTGCAAAAACATCATTTGCAATTTGTATCCATATCATGATCATAACTGGAGGACCTTAACTTGGTTGAAGAAAAGAATCAATTCCGGTTGCAGAAGGTAGCTCAATGAAGGAACCATTGACTGTCCAAATGCATCTACTAACTTCCATAATAACAGAGCAATCAAGTCATATCTAATCCAATCACTAAACTTGTTGAATGGGTCTCCAACAGGATCCCAAGCATCCATCGAGCTAATCTTTGTTTACCATTTCTCTTTCTGTGCTTTAATTCCTAGACAATCTTCTCGCAACAGATGAAACCAAATGGAGGCCAAGGAATTTGTCAATAATAATACCTAATCCATGCCAAAAAAAATGATGCAGATCCCAATTTTAGGAATGAAGATGATCATTGAAAATTATAAAGCTTTTCTATACAATAGCATTGGGCATGAAAATAGAGAAAATACAGAACCAACTACCATRGCAATGAAAACAAAACAAATAGAGTTGGAATGCCTTTGTGCAACCTTCCATCACCTCTGAATTCCCAACCAAGAAGATGGGAGTAAGAAATGCATGATTCAACTCCACAAAATCCCTTTTCACTATATCTTGTGGTAGCCACACTCATTTTATTGGCATTCCAGGATGACAATGTCGTCACCATGTATGAGAAGATTTATGGAGGAGATTTCAAGTTCCTGCAGTTTCTACTAATCATAAAGCTATTGGACCCAAACCCCCATACTTGGATCACCAAATCTAAGATCATGGAGATGTTCTAATTCAAGAAATCTGTTATGAGCCTCAACCTATTATTGGGAAAGTGAGGCCACCCGTACCCCAAGCTATAGTGCCACGGACCACTCAGGGGAAAGCAGAGAAGTAAAAGAAATTTTAGGCAAAAGAGAGAAAGACAACAAACTTTATTAATACGCAGTGGTTTATATAAGTTGATGGGTATCTATATGGACTTAGATTGGTTTTGCTCCTTCAATCAGTGTGATAGCATGGTTCAGGGAGGGGACATGGGGGTGGTATTTCAATTGGTTCCTGAAATACATCATTAAATTAATCCACTACTGACTGAGTCCTCGCATCAGTCTGGCACTCTGGCCAAAGCTAGTAAAGTCCCATACCGACTCTTTTGGCTTTCAATGTATAGATTCTAAAAACTAAGCACCCTCTAGAATGTGACTACCACTGTCATCACTGTATTGCAGGGTCATATCAACGAAATTCTATGTCATTAGCCCCAAGGTTTGGAGTCTTCGGAGTCATTGGACTCCAAGAATAGCATCATATCTTTGGAGTCTCAGTAAGTAAAAGTCAGCTTTTTGCATACTCCCCTAAGTTGAGATTTTAACTTCAGGACACCTACTTCTGCCCAAGAGCCTATTTCAATTTGCCACCATGACTTTGAACTGATTATTAGCTGTTAATGGCAGATTGCTTCATTCAGCAACATTGGGGTTCAAGAAGTTATGAGTTGAGCCCGAACTGATCAACATAGTAAGGGGTTGGCCTGCCTAATATAGTCCCAACTCCCAAGTACGTGCATTGTGGTGAGCTTCCTCCTACCATTGTAACAAGATCTCCGAAGGCTCTCCTTCATTATGAGCATGGGCTTGTTCTGTCTCCACAGTGGGTAGTTCTCCCATCTCTTCTTCTAGAGCCATCAATCGGGGTTTTGCATTTTGGGCTCTGCGAGTGAGTCTTCTGATTTCCAACACAGGTTTGGCTAGAGAAGTTACTGGGGTGGTTGGTTGTGGTTTCAGAAGCTCTAATCGCATAGCACGCCTACGAGCTGCTACCTCCTCTTCCTCCAATTGGGCCAGCCGAAATGCTCTGGCAAGGGTAATGGCTTCAAACAACCAGATGCTCCTCCATCAACTCAGATACTCCATTGGAAAGACGTTGGAACTCCTCTTGGTATTCAATGACAGTGGTAGTTTGCACAATCTTTGACAATCGTCCAGCATAGTTCATCCCTCTTGCGGGCCGTTGAAACGTGTAAGGCCACTACGTATTTGATTCTAAGTCGACTGAGAGTGGTAATCCCTGAACCAACGGAACCATTAGATTATTTTTCCTTAACCCCATACTGGAGAATGGAACCCATTGCTCTTCTGGAATTTCACTGAGGTCGAAGTATTGCCACACCAGCAATTACCATCCATCAAGGTGGGTGTCGTTAAACCTCGGTATATCGAGTTTAACCCACAGCTACTGATGACCCTAGTTGGAACCTTCAGTTCTTCTTGAGCCTGAACCCACCATGGAAAGACGCCTCTTACCATCTTCCTTAGATTTCCAACAAACACCAAAGCCTGGTTAAGTCTGTCGATGATCTCGATCAGTGAGTCTGGCTTGAAGTTATTCCAGACTCTTTTTGATGTAGCTCAATTGTTCTTCCAACCCCACCATCCTTGGTTTCCAAAAGATGGAAAGTCTGGTATCAGAATGTTATGAGCCTCATCCCATTGCTGAGAAGTGAGGCCACCACCATCACCCCAAGCTATAGTGTCGACCAGCGCTCACACGAAAAACAGAGAACACAGAAGAAATTTTAGGCAAAAGACCATGAGTTTTATTTATTAATACGCGCGTGGTGGTTTATATAAGCTGGTCTAGTAGTTACACGTACAATGATTCACTCAATGACATCCAATGAATACATAATTGGGTATAAGGGTATGCCAGACGATATCAGCCTTTAATGCAAAAGTTTCCATGGTGCCACATCATTCGAGCTCGATCGTTGGATGGTCTACTGTACCTCAAGTAAGTATCAAAATTGTTGCCGAGGACGAAGGAAGCGAGGGAATTCAGGAGTTTCGACCGAAATGAAATTTATGCTATGTGAAAACGAACAGAGACACTTGACACTTCTCACATAACATCGTTGTTGAACCCATTTGATCTGTTACCCATGTTCGAGGAGAAAGGGAAGAAAAGGAGTTGGGTTTCATGATGACAAAAACTCGTTAGTAGCATGATGTCGAAGTTGGAGGAGATAGCGAAGGCAATGAAATTCAGTGTGAATTAGAGTCAATAGTGAAGTTGCAGGGATAAGAGGAGGGAAGGAAAGACGTTGATCACTGAGGTGTATGCTAAAAGCTGATTTTTTTGAAAGTGCTAACATAACGTTGAAGTTATGGTAAGAGCTGATTTTTACTTACTGAGGGTATAAGTATTTTACCCAATTATTAAATATGGAGATTAATTTTGGTTCCCATACATTAAAGCTAGCTATGCAACATTTTTCAGATTCGCAGTTGAAGTTATGGTGAATTCTAATGTTTAAGGATCCAATAGCGTTTGCCGCAATCATTCTGGTCTCATCCAGCAGGCACGATTGGAGTTGACATCCCCAACTTCGCCATATAGAACGTCGGGTTGTGGGCCTCCGACGAGATCAATGCCGGCATCCCTTCCATCTTGTAGACCAGAGTCCCCTTGCCATTGCAATCTATAGTTGGGTGGAAACTTTCAGATCTATGAGATTCAGAAATCGAAATTTAGAAGTTTCCTAAATTTGGAAAGTAATTCCCATGTTTAGGTCACTTGGCCAGACAAATCATTCATAGGAAGGCACACCTCCAACCGCTGCTACCACCACCACTTCCCCATTTTTCAGGAGATACATGGGGACCGTATAAAGATGGAATAGTGTTTATTCTGATTCAGTCTTAAGGTAGAAGACAGTGAACACTGTTTTTATTGAAGGGTAGTTTTGATATTTTTAAAAGTTTGAAGTTGCACATATTATGACATGATAGGGATAACTGATGGACTGTTAAGACAAGACAAGGACTAAAGTGATACTAGGACCAAAGTAAAAGTTATTAATCTGAAAATTTCCCCCTTTTTTTTCTTCTATACATTGCAAACAAGCAAGTCAAAGTAATTTAAAACAAAAAATAAGGGTAAAATTACAAATAGCTACCTGTACAGAGGGTCCCCTTTAAATTTTAGATTCCAGCACTTTTCCCCCAACCCACTAACAGGGTAGGTTGCAAAAGTAAAATTACTAAGTTGCCCATTCAATATTCTATGCCCCGAGAGCAACAAATGTCAAAATGATAAAAATAACCATTCAAAAACATTTATAAAATCTAGAAGTTCTAAGGGGATAATTTCCATAAAACAAAGTTCAGGAGGCTAAGTGTCATTATCCCCTGAGTGTAGGATGGCTGCCTATGATACGAGTTTCTCCAAACTGTTGGGATTCACATATGGTAGTCTAAGAGAATACCACGTTGGAAAGGAATGAGAGATTTAAAGGATTAGTACAAGAATGGCCCATTACCCAATGATTTAAGCTTTTGGGTTGTATATAGTGTTCCTCTCTTGTGTGTAAGTCCTACGTGCATGTACATCTACGAACCCCAGTTTTGATGAGCTCCTTAATTCATAACACAAACATAAAGGCTGTAGATCTTTATGTCAAATCCCCTTAAGCAACTTTGGTGATACCATAGGACTGTCATGCATGAATGACCTTTAATGGAGGTAATTTGGTTGAAACTTTATGATGCGCAATCTGACAGCTCTCACGTGGCAAGTGATTCGGGAAGTTTATTATGTCGGTGGCCGAGATGAGTTTGGCCAAGTTATATGATTCTACAAGAGAAAAAGTTAGAGTGCCTGGGTTGCTTTTATCCGGGGTGGGCACTCTGATGCTTAAGTCAGCGAAAAATTCTTAGAAATTTTTAAGAGATTAGAGAATGCAAGAGCTTAATCGCACGTACCTCTTGAAGTAGAAATGATATCCATATATAGATGTGAGTGATCAGAGACCTCTCGCAGAGCAATTTCCATTAAGTCGGCAGAGTAATGACGTCGGTTACATAATCTACGTAGATGGCTGAGGTCAGCCTAATGGTCAACTCATTAATATTCTGAAGAACATGGTCTAGCAATGGATCTATGTGACAAATCAGCGAATCTGCCCTGTAAGTCGCCAATAGTGACTTTCTTAGCCCAGCCAGCCCTTGAGGTAGGACACTCCTGATTCAGAAGTCCTTTAGGTCGATCGGGCCGAGGTACCTTAGGTCGGCCCTGGCGGGGAGCTACTAACCAACTTGCCAAGGTGATCTGCTTACTCAACGCCGATGTATCACTTGGAAGCAATATGTCATGATATAATTTAGAGGACCAAATTGCCCCTCATCATGTTGCATATTGTTGAACCTTCTTTACTTGATAGAAAGAGCATGAAAAAATATGCTTGAAAAACAAGTTTATTTCTTTGAATCACTCTTTTATGATTATAATATAAATAGCATTACCTTCTCAATTGCATTTTTTTGGTCAGTTAGTTAATCTAATCAATGTCTTAAAAACCAACTCAGAAGCAGAACTGCTTTCTGGCTTAGTGGTTCAATTGTTTGGTCCGAATGAATCATCCTATGACACTTTTAAAATTAAATATATATATATATATATATATATATATATATATATATATATATTAAAATAAAAAATTAGCTCAAAAACCGTTGTCAGGGTCAAACAGGTCAACAGTTTGACCATCATTGCTGACCAATTCAACGATTTTTCAGAAAGTAATGGTTTAAGGCTGAAACGGAACCCGTACCCTGGCCTGTTTCCAGGCCAAATGGTCCCACTGTCTGTCATTGATGGTTTTAAAACTCTAAATCTAAAATTAGCTAATGCCATTATATAACATGAATGCCATAGCTGAAAACTTGAACACCAAGTTGAGAGACATCAATATTAGAAAAAGTTTCTTAGAAAGTAGAGTACCAACTAGTGAACATCATGAAACAAATAAAAAGAAACTCAGTGCACTGAGCCACACACAAACTAAGAAAAACAGGGGAGAAGTTGGGATTGATAGGATGGTTTGCACTCAAAGTTTAAACACTCATCACCATTAACAGCCAAATATCAAAAGGCCCATTTTCTGATAAAAACTAACCTAGAAACTCAGCCCTACAAACCAGACACACTAGATTTTAACCACTAAACCCAGATTTATGCATCTGCTTTTCACATTTGGAACAACTGAGCTACAGTTCTTTATCCCCCAGTAAAGCAAGAAGGAAGGCCTTGTAGTCTCCTGAAGTGTGCTTGTTGATTGCATGCTCAAGGGAGGCATTGTTTCTCTTGTGATATAGCTCCTTGATATCATTCAAGTCCTTTTCTGCACGTGTGACAATCACACGTGTGAGCGCATCTTCATCAGTTCTTCCCTTATTAACTGCATTGCGCAGAACCTGATCCACAGCATACCCCAAAAATCCGTAAGAAATCCAAGTCTGAAATTCTCAAGTTACATTCAGAAAAGAACACCGTTTGTTCATAGTTTTTTTAAAATCCAACCTTTTCAAAGTACTTCTGAGGAAAAGTGATGCATCGGATAGCCATGCGCAGTGCTGCTAAGAATTCATCAGCCGGATCATCCAACAAACTCTGCAGATGGAAATACAATATGATCTCATCAGATCAATGGTCTGCCATTAAAATGTAAACTTGGTTTTCTAATAAACAAGTTTGAGTTTCACATAGTGTTCTAAAACATGTATGTTTTTATTTTCATTTGTTTTTAAAATCATTAATCAGCAAAAGAATTAAACACATTCTTGAAGTAGTATGTGTTTATTTTGAGAAGCAAAAATAAGTTGGTTTTATTTCAAACTATCAAAAAATATTGAGTACAGATATTATAAGATCAATGAAACATTAAATCAATCACCAGATTAAAACATGTTCTTTAAGCAAGAAATTCAATACTCCATTTAAAAAAAAAAAAAAAAAACAATTCATTTTCAAACCAGATGGTTCTGATTTGCTTATGGAGCTCACAACAAGAAAAAAAAATTCACATTGGAGAAAACTCCCTAAATATTTGGTAATTTGATACCTTGGTAATGGAAGTACCATGTGCATCCCTGTAGCAGTTGAAGGTTGCATTCAGCTGTGACTTACTCCTTGTGCTTAAGATTCTGATTATCTCTTCATGACTAAAGGCCTTCCCCTTGATTACCTCATGAAGAAGCTTAGCCTCAGACTCTGCTAGGCTCACATTTATCTCATCACCATCATACCTGAATGTGCTTACTAAGGCTACCAGAAGCTGTAACACAAACCACCACCCACAAAAGCATTAGGGAATTAACACAAACAGTTGGTTCTACCCTGCAAACAGTATCATCAACATGTCTAAGTTCATTGCCTTGCGGAAGTCGCCTGTAGTATGAGAGGCGACATCTTCATCCAGGGAATGCTTGTAACGCAAATGGTAGGCTCGTTTCACTGCCAAGAGCTCCTCAGAGGATCGAACACATGCAATTTCAATGATCGTCTGGTAGTCGAGCATGCTATCCTTCACTGCAACATGAGCCAAGACTGCATCTCGTTCTGCAGGATCTAGTAACCAACGATATACTGCTTTCTATACAATCAAGTGAACTAAGCTGGTTCTTTAGTCTGTAATGATATACACATCTATTGAGAAACAGATAGCAGAAAAAAAAATACAACAAAATAAACCTCAAAGTCCCCAGAAAGCTCTGATTCAAGTCGCTTAATAAGATTTTCTTGATAAAGCTCCTCATAAGCCTTCCTAATTTGATTCCTCTGAACTGCATTTCTGTGCCCAAGTATTTGAATTATGGCCTTCTCATCAGTCCCCCATCCTAAAAGATAGCCAGAGATCAAATTTCTTTTATGCAAGGCAGATTAAACAAATTCTTGCTATATACTATTCAAACGAAGTGCAGCAACTTAGAATTAAAGTTTCTTAATAGATTTGTTATTACTTTGTCATAAACTAATTAGATAATACTGTATATTGCAAGCTTAACACATTCACAGAGAAAAATGGCAGCAAAGGGAAGAAAAGGACTCCAAATGAAACCCAGAAACAGATATTTTCTGAAGATGATAAGGATATCACTTACAATGTGATAGGAAGAGATGAACCCATGTATGACTAATTCATGGAATAAGAACAAAAAGAATTAAATCAGGAAATGATCAAGAGATGAACCCATGTATCACACCTTGGCAAGCCTTTCTGAGGCTCTCGGCGTCTTGAACAGGAGAAGGGTGGTCAGGAACAACAAGGGTAGCCATTGTTGAGTACTCACTCAAAACTCTTGCTGTTTTTCTCTCTACAGCCTAAGCTTTGTTCAGCTCTAGCTTTGCTCTTCCTTTTATAATCCCAGCAATTTAATTCCAGGAGTCCTAGTTTCGATGGTAACGCTAACACCTGCTTATACCATATTTTTGTTTCCTTCAGTTTAATCCTTCAACTGAAAGAGAGTATTCAATTTGTCTATATTTCGCCTACAGTTTTTCTGATTTTGTTAAGGTCTTATTAGTTATTAATGGCAGTAATTTAGGCATAATCTAGTTTTGCAAATGGATCCGGACAAGGTCGACCAGACCCAGTTTAAATAGATTCCTCTTTCAATATGCTTTTCTAGTTTGGTGAAAATTGGAAGGATCATGCCCCACTATTGGACGGCTGCGATCTCAAAGTATATAGGTTCAGAAGAATCTCGTTGGCATTAGCACCACCATGTATTTTCATGAATGATAAGGGAAATATTCCCAATGCGCAATTCGCAGCTATAATGTCTCGTGGGTAGAGATGTGAGACAGCTCGCGGGCAACAGATCCGAGCCCAATCAGCACGGAGAATTATTTAAAGCAGCAAAAGGAAACGGTGGGACGATGGGCGTTTTCCAAAGCTGATGATGGTCGTTAAATTCAACAAACGTTGCGACTCGTGTGCGTTATTCAGGCTTTTCACTACGCGACACTTCGGTTTCACGATAGTGCTGTGGTGGTCCACACAGCTTAATGAATCTGCTCGGTGCTTGGCTAATATTAACACCGCACGATTGGTGTGAGCCCTGTGATACAGCGAATGTGTAGTGGTTGGTAGGCAGTTGTATTTGCAGCATGGAAAAGCATGATTCTGTGGGCCCATCTCTTCCGGCCGGCATTAGGATGGATTCGAGTAGGGGAGGGGTTATGTGAGGAAAGATGGTCATTTTTAGGGATGTTAATGGGTCGATTAAATGGTAAATATGGCTTGATAGGGTTGGGTTATGGTTAATATATTTGGCTATAAGGTGAGGTTAAGGTTTTGATTATTCAATCTGAATTGGGTTTAGGTTTTGGCTGACCTGTCCCGTTTAGGTTTTTAACACCTTGCATATATATAAAGTATTTGTGTAACTTTTTAACTTCTAATTCTATAATTTTAAAGTTTAAGATTTATTTATATATTGGTTTTGATTCTTTTTTCTTTTTTTTAATAGTAAAAGTGATATCTTAGATTTTATAAAACAATTTCTTAATTTAAATTAATGGATTTTAGATCTTCAAAACGTGTTAAAAAAATACAATTGAAATGCTACAGGTTAGGTCGGGTTGGTATCAGGTTAGACCCTATAGGATCAGTCGGGTTTAAAAACTATATATTTTAAGGCGGGTCAAGTAAAGTTCGAGTTGAGACACTGTAGGATCGGGTTCAGGTTGAGGCAAACCCATGCCAAACCTGACCCATTGACATCCCTAGCCATTTCGGAGTTTGGCCTTTGGTGTAGTGGACCCCATATTCATATTTTGGTTGGGCCAAATTGATCCCCTATCAAAAGCCCCGCCAACCAATCCATCCACCCAATTTGGTTGGACCAGATTGGAGTGGGGGAGGGGCTATATGAGGAAGATGACCATTTTGGAGGAGCTCGAATCTCTAATCCATGAAATACTACAGCTGTACGTTGAGAACATCTTGTCTATATACATGTTACCATTCTTTAGAAGTTCCCAATCTACACCTTAGTGTCATATGGGTAGGTGTGGGTAAGACTCTTGTGGGTAGTAGATCCGATTGATTTTGGAGTTGGATCCATCATTGCAGTAGACCCATATTTATATTTTGACTGGACCAGATTTATTCCAAATCAAAAGCCCCACCAATCCATCCACCCACTTTGATTGGGACAGATTGGAGTGGGGAGGCCGGAAGGGGCTATTTGAGGAAGATGGCCATTTTGAAGTTGGACCCCATATTCATATTTTGGCTAGGCCAGATGGATCCCAAGTCAAGAGCCCCACTAAAGTACAATATTTGGGTTGGAGTAGAAAAGAAGTACAAAACATCTAGTGGCTAAGGCATCAAATGGCGTGAGCTGCTCTGATTCGACCTATATAGATCCATGTATAGTGTGTGTGCACATGTGTGAAGATATGATGGTTTTTGATATTTGGGGAAAATAATGTTGATATCTTAGACTCCCATTGGCAAGAACCCTAAATCTAAACAACAGAACAAATTATTGCTTGTAAACCAAATTAATGAAAAGGAAAATTAATTAGATCATTGTTTTATTTCTTATGTTAGTCACAAATCAAAACTTATCTTGCCCAAATTTATCTTGAAAATGCCATTTTCATGTGTTGCTTTCTCTATTAATGTAAGGTTGTAACTTGAAAATTAGAAGCATATTTAAAATCTGATTTTCATATTTAAAAAAATAAAATAAACTGAAGAATCTATAATTCAGTGGCATGTACTGTTGTCTATTTGTTTCGTAGTTTTAGTTGTATGATAATCCATTACGATAAGCGTCTATAATTCCTTATTATTTACAAAGGTTTTGTTGAGGTCATTATTTTCCAAGTTTTAATGAATACTTTTAGTTGATTCTCTCTCTCTTTCAAGTCTCCACAAAAGATACAATTTCCAATTAGAGGAAACTGACAATTCATCAAAAATATTTTTTCTATATATCAATATACCTTGGTTTGAGATATAAACATGAATGAGAATTAAGAAGAAGTTACAAGAAATTATGCATTTCAAAAAATTAAATAAAAAAAAAAAGAATATTTACAACTTCGATATTTTAACCAAGCAGCCAACTCCCTGACCAGAATGGAATCAAAAACCGATTATCTGAGCGACTGGGCCCCACATTTATCCGGATTTTCAGGGGTCGGAAGCTGGTCCAACCCAAATTGCACTACAAAGAATATGATAGCCTAGCCATGATCCATGAGGCCCATTTCCAGCGGACAACGGAATAAAAGTAAAAGTCATATAAATCGACTCCACTGGGGATCGAACCCAGAATCTCTGGTTCCGTAGACCAGCGCCTTATCCATTGGGCCATGGAGTCTTTTTTATGCCTTATGAGTAAAATCTTTAAGAATAATTATAAGTATTCACTTTTAGACCAAATTATTTTTTTATTTGTTTAGCCCATCAGAAAGCCAACCAATCGACCGGTTCTGACTACGTCTCTTGAGCCGAACACTGAATCCGCCATTCATCTTGAGAAGAAGAGATTGCGTGTAAGAGGGAACCTTTGTATCAACTGCCTCAATCTCATATCCATATATCACCGACGCCGCTATCGACTTCATCTGCACGTAAACCATCTCCTTTCCCAAACACATCCTGGGGCCACAATGAAACACAGGAAACCGATACTGATCGGACGGCACAAACACCCCATCCTTATCCAACCATCTCTCTGGCAGAAACTCTCTACAATTGGGGCCCCACACTTTCTCCATCCTCCCCATCGCATACGCTGAGTAATCGGCAAACCATCATCCTGCACCCACGTATGTCCCATCCGGTAACACGTCATCCGCCACCGTCAATCTCGAATTTATCGGCACCGGCGGGAACAGCCGTAGCGATTCCGTGATAGCCGCGTGGAGGTAGTGCAACTGCTTCAGCTCTTCGTACTTGAAAATCCCCCCGTTGACCCGATCTCCGGCATCTGCAGTGACGATAGTTCGTCGTAGATCAAGCGTTCACATCGAGGACTCGACGATATCAACCAGAAGAACCACGTGAGCGCCGTTGATGTGGAATCTTTCCCGGCAAGGACGAAGCTGATCACGATGTCTCTCAAGAATTTCCGTTTCTCGTTGCAATTTCGGAACCCTAGATCATCGTGATCGCACCAAGACATGAACCGCGAAAGCAAATCCTGATTTGAATACGAATTTTCCCCTCCCTGTTCTCTAGCTTCGATGATCTTCATAGCGTAGTCGTCGATTACAGCAATTGCGTCCTTCAGACGCTTCTCGGATCCGACGTTGAGAATTCGCTTAAGGCGTCGGCGACATGAACCTCGAGGAGCTGATTTCCACGGCTTCTTCGAAGGCCTGAACAAAGGAAGCACTTGATGCAGTTCTAGAATCATCGTAGCTCAACCAAGCCAGATCGACACCGAATGCCAGATTGCAGATGTTATCAAAAGCAAGTTTCCTGAAGACATCTTGAAGATCGAGAATTTCATTGTTGTCACATGCTGCGTTGAGGTAAGGGACTAGGCGAGACGAGATTTCAAACTGTACGATGTGGGCAATGAAGGACTTGAGGGAACGGTTGTTGAACTCGTGGCTGGCGATCTTTCGCTGCTTTGACCATAGGTCGCCGTCGACGTTAAAAATGCCGTCGCCGAGGAGGTCGTGGAGGACGTCGTGGAAGCGGGACCCTTTGATGTAGTTGGAGAAGTTGGTGCGGAGGAGGTGCTCGATGTCAGTGGGGTTGGTGGTGCAGATGCCGTGGTGGGTGTTGAGGAAACCGTTGACTTCAAGAGTGCTGGATGGGGTGGATGAGAGCATCTCGGCTACCCAATCGTGGAAGCGGTGGCGGTTGCGGAGGAAACCGATGAGGTTTCCGATGAGAGGGTAGGACGAGGGACATGGAGTCTTGGACCTCTTGGTCTGAGGCTTTGCGAGGAAGAAGAAAAAGAGGGAGATAAGGATGAAAGAGAGAAAAGATCGAAGCGTGGAAAGGGTTCATGTCTGGTAGGAGCTTGATTTGGATTTTGGAGGTTGTTAGTTGTAACTTGTAAGAATCCAAGAACCGCATCCTTTTGAGTGGGCAAAATCTATGATACCGGATCTGTAGGTTCTCGTTCGAGTTACCTACGTGTCCGAACGAATACCGTTCAAATAATCTTGTCGGAGGCAATTCGGGCTTGCAAGTTACAAAGGGATTGAAGGGCAATTTTTGGAGGTCTAATATCAATAAAAATAATATTTTAATAAAATTTTAAAAATAGGTTAATTTTTTAAAAATAATATTAAATAAAGACAAAAATACTGTTCATTTTCTTCCTCTTGCTGATCATTTATTAGCGCTGCCATCACCACCACTTCCGATA